AGATAAGTGAGTCCCAGGCAGGGAATGGTGCCATGGACTCCCAGGGTGTGTTCTGCAGACCCCCAGGGGTCTCCAGACCCCTAACTGAGAACCACTGATATAACATATAACTTGGCTCTATGTGCCTTGCTGTCACAGTGTGTGTCAGTGTAATACATTTCCAAAAGCCACCGTGAAATAAAAAAAACCCTTATTCTGTGCACAGCCTTGCTGCTGAAATGAGTTAGCTCATTTGTTGACTTCTTCCCACAAACAATGGGATATCATGGCCTCAAAGCAGGAATACCCAGAGGCAGAGTCCTCCAGTGAAGGACCCTGGAGAGCAAATGGGTCCGCTCCCTGGTTGATCCCATGGGGCGCCACAATAAACAGAGACCTCATCTTCTCCTCTGAACCCTAAAGAGAGGCATCTGCCACCAAACTACGGTGATCCATGGATGCCCCACAGACTTCTTGGAGGATCAGGAGAGAAATGGGAAGACAGACTCACAGCATGGAACTCCAGCATCTAGATCAGCAGTGGGAAACCCACAGCCTGCATGTATTTTGGGTCTCCCTATTTGGCCTAGGAGGCTGTTTCCGTCAAGCCATGCCTAAAGCTGATATCATATATGGCACCAGATGTGGGGCAGGTAAAGACGCAGCTGGGTCAAAAGGAAGTTTGCAGGCAGCACTGAACAGTTGATTGGTGGCACCTGCAAAGTCCTATGCAAGGGCTGGCAATCAGCTGGTCATCGGGGCTTGCACAGCACCAACAATCAGATCATCAGTTGCTCCATGGCACCACTGAGCCAATTTGTATGTCCAGTCTCAGCTTCAGGATTGCTAACCATGGTCCTGAAATACCTCTCCTTTGTTCCTCTCCAATGTTCTGATCCTGCCTTGCCTTGCCATCCTGACTGCCTAAAGAGAGCAACTCGTAGATAGGCCAGAACTGGAGTTACGTGTTCAGACTGTCTGGTCTTAGACATCACATTCTGCATTAGCTATAGTTTCTGAACCACCTTACAAGTAATCTAACCTAGATGATGATGATGATGATGATGATGATTAGAATTTATATACCACCCTATAGACCTCTGAACCATCCAGATGAGAGTCACAGCTGGCACTCAGTGTTTGGGAGCCCACGTGTGCCTCCAGCATCAATGAAGGGCCCAAGATGGTGGCCATCTGTCAGGGATGCTTTAGTTGTGATTCTTGTATTGAAGAGGGTTGGACTAGATGACCCTTGGAATCCCTTCCAATCCTACAATTCTATGATTCTAAGTATCTCTTTATATGTATCTTGCTATCTATGTATAGCCTCAAGCTATGTATCTGCTCCTTGGAAAAGGAAATAGTGAGGAATTTCCCAAATATATAAATATACACATTAGTCTCTTATAACATGTCTGCTTCCTAGACCTAAACTGGATTGGTCCCATCCATGTTTCCATGTCAGTTCTCTTTGAAATCCTGAGAATTTTAGTCCTGCAGAATGAAGTTGAGAGAGAACTCTCAGCACCCTGTGGGAATTGCTATTCTTTCATGAAACAATTCCAGCTGAAACCTAGTTAAGATTTACAGCTTTGATGCCTGCTGATGGCCTCGATGTCAACATGTACCTCAGCCTCAAAAGAATTGCATCAGAGAACCATCTGCAGACTCTGTGTAGTTGTAGTTCTTTCCTGATTCCAGGACAGAAGGTACAGCCTTTTGGGAGAAGTACATGTCATGACCTTACAAGAGATGTTATCAAAGCAATCGGGATTTGTGAACATAGGCATTCCCCAAGAGAGAGCAGTGCTTTGTCTCTAGAACGGCGTGGTCTTCAATATTTATAGGATCATAAGAAGAGCCATTGCTTTTGAATTATGGTGCTGGAGGAGACTCTTGAGAGTCCCATGGACTGCAAGAAGATCAAACCTACAAATGGCAGATGAAGCTGATGGACTACATGGAACTGGCGGAAATGACTGGCAGAATTCGAGACCAGGGAGAAGAGTCGGTGGAAGAAGACTGGAAAAAAATTAAAGTATATTTACAGAAATATTGCAAAATTAATGAATGTTAGAAGGATGCTGGAATGAAGCTATATGGTTTTAGCAGAAATGTTATAAAGAATTAAGGAAAAATAGATCGTTAATGGACCGAAGTGGAAAATTTAAGGTTAGAGTGTCTCAAGTTAAATTTTAGAACGAAAATCAAGAAAGATGGAAAGGACTTGCTGAAATAGCTAATTGAACTAGAATACAAAAATGGGAGGTGTGAGGAGGTCGATGAAACAAGTATATGAAAGGTAAAGATATGGAAAAGTTGGATGTGTTTTTAAATGTTTTTGTTCTATTTTTCTTTGTTGTTTTATTGTATTGTTTTATTTTCTCTTTGATGTATTGTAAGGTATTGTTTTGTTTTGTCTAATTCTTTATTGTTTTCTTTTCCTGTTCTCTTTTTCTGTAATTTGTAAACTCTTAATAAATATCTTTAAATAAAAAAAGAAGATCAAACCTATCCATTCTTAAGGAAATCAGCCCTGGGTGCTCACTGGAAGGACAGATCGTGAAGCTGAGGCTCCAATACTTTGGCCACCTCATGAGAAGAGAAGACTCCCTGGAAAAGACCCTGATGTTGGGAAAGATGGAGGGCACAAGAAGAAGGGGACGACAGAGGACGAGATGGTTGGATATTGTTCTTGAAGCTACCAGCATGAATTTGACCAAACTGCGGGAGGCAGTGGAAGACAGGAGTGCCTGGTGTGCTCTGGTCCATGGGGTCACGAAGAGTCAGACACGACTAAACAACTAAACAACAAAGAAGAGCCAACTGGATCAGGCCAAAGGCCTCATCCTCCATGAATTTGTCCAATTCACTTTTAAAGCCATCCAAGCTGGAGGCCACAGTTTAACTGTGCACTGCAGGAAGAAGCATTTTCCTTTATCTGTCCTGGAACTTCCACCATTTAGCCACATTGGATGTCCATGAGGTATAAGAGAGGGATTAAACCTCTTCTCGATCCACTTTCTCCATCCCATGTATAATTTAACCAGCTTCTATAATTTTCTCTTACTTGCTTTTTATTTAAACTAAAACATCCCTTTCCTCACAGTTGCTCCATCCGCTTTATCATTGTTTGCCCTTTTCTGAGATATTTAATTTTTTATTCCTCAGAGCCCAACATTTTCAGTTTCTAAAGATTGGTTTCCCTAACCTGTTTCCTCTGAGATTTAGCTTTATTCCACCTCCTAGTGTCAAGCTCCTCCACCTTCTCTTCATCGTCTCATTAAAAGACAGGATCCATCCAAGTGAATTATGTGACCAGCCTGGATAGCTCAGTTGGTTAGAGCGTGGTGCTGATAATGGCAAGGTTGCAGGTTTGATCCCCATATGGGACAACTGCATTTTCCTGCATTGCAGGGGGTTGGACCAGATGGTCCTCAGGGTCCCTTTCAACCCTACAATTCTATGATTCTATCTAGGCTGGGCTAGGGTGCTGGAAAAGGGGCTGGAAAAGACGTCAGCTGCCCTACTATGTAGTGAAGGTGCTATACCTTAGGCTGCAGATATAGGGCACCACCAGTGCTACAAGGCCTCTGACAAGGGTGCTCAATGAAACAGAGGGCCCACTAACAAAAGCTTTTCCTGACCAACTCTCCTCTTCACCACTGAAGTTGGCTGGTTCACCTTTTTCTCCCCCTGTCCAGGGCAACTTTGGTGGTGAGAAGGCAGTGAAGTAGGTGTGAGTTCTTGCTTGCTCGCCATTTCTCTGCTTGGAATGCAAGCACTGATGAAAAAGACGAGGGGGAGTATGGTGTTAAGGAGCTAAACACACAGAGGGAGAAGAAGAGGAAGAGGAAGAGGAAGAGGAAGAAGAAGAAGAAGAAGAAGAAGAAGAAGAGGAGGAGGAGGAGGAGGAGGAGGAGGAGGAGTTTGGATTTAATATTCCGCTTTATCACTACCTGAAGAGGTCTCAAAGTGGCTAACATTCTCCTTTCCCTTCCTCCCCCACAACAAACACTCTGTGAGGTGAGTGTGGCTGAGAGACTTCAAAGAAGTGTGACTGGCCCAAGGTCACCCAGCAGCTGCATGTGGAGGAGCGGAGACGTAAACCCGGTTCACCAGATTATGAGTCTACTGCTCTTAACCACTACACCACACTGGGAGGGACATGAGAAGCTCCCTGATACTAAATAAGAGCACAGATCCATCTAGCTCAGTAGTTTTCAACAGAGTCTTTCCCCAACCCTACCTAGAGATACTGGAGATTGAGCCTATTACAAAGCAGATGCCCTTCCCCCATGAGAAAAGGGGGCCATGAAGATACCTTTCCCAAGGACTCTCCAAAATCTGGAGTTGGCACTGGGTGGCATTCATAGCAGCAGAGTGGGAGACCAGGAGATGGAAAGGAAGATCATCTACTTTCCTTTTTACCCAGGCTGGTGCAGAAGAACTTCCCAATAAATTAAGCCCCATGTGAATTATTGGAATCAGCATGTGACATTTGGGTTTGCATCCTCATGCATCAAAGCATCCTGGTCTACAAATGATACTGACAGCCTTGGGATGGTTCCACAGAGAATTCTTGGCGGTCTATACCAAGACATACTGAACTAAGCATTCAGCAGGGACACGGGTGGCGCTGTGGTCTAAACCACTGAGCCTCTTGGGCTCACCAGTTGGAAGGTCAGCAGTTTGAATCCCAGCGAGGGAGTGAGCTCCCGTTGCTCTGTCCCAGCTCCTGCCAACCTAGCATTTCGAAAGCATGCCAGTGCAAGTAGATGAATAGGTACCAATGTGGCAGGAAGGTAAATGGCATTTCCGTGCGCTCTGCTTTCCATCACGGTGTTCAGTTGTGCCAGAAGTAGTTTAGTAATGCTGGCCACATGACCCGAAAAGCTGTCTGTGGACACACGCCAGCTCCCTCGGCCTGAAAGTGAGATGAGCACCGCAACCCCATAGTCACCTTTGCCTGGACTTAACTGTCCAGGGGTCCTTTACCTTTAAGCATTCAGCATCCCAACAAATTTGCCCCTCCTTCCACAGGGGAACTTTATTTGCCAAGCATAGATACATGAAAATATGACTGAAATAAAACCTTAGATGAGGTCTGAACAATCAGTGAGGATTCCTGAACAATCAATGCTGGTTGTTCCAAAGTGTTGCTTCAGAATGGCGAGGAAGGCCTTGCTGACAGAAGTCATTGCAGCTGAGCTTCCAGCAGCCAACTTGAAGAACAGGTGAGATGGGTGAGGATGCACATGAAGGCTAATCACCCATCTTTGCGCAGCAGACTCTTTTGAAATGGCAGGGCACATCCAGGAATAGACCCGAAGGGCAGGTCTGATTGACTGGCTGAATGCAGTACCCTCCCATGGAGGAGCAAGTAAGAAGTGCGGCATCTGCAGGGCTGTCTTCTGTAGAAACAACAACAGAAGGTTTAGAATCACAGAGCTGGACCACCTAGTTCAGTCTTCATCAACCTGGTGTCTTTCATGTATTTGCAACTCCCATCATCCCTAGCCAACCCCTTGGATGGGGCCAATTGTAGTTGGAGTCCAAAACACTTAAAGGGCACGAAATGGGCAAAGGCTGATCTGATTTTTGGAGGACATCCAAAAATGAAGCACCCCTGATAAAGTCAGCCTCTGCTAAAAAAAGGAGAGTGAACAACCTTCTGAGGCCCTCTGTCCCACCATTCAACAGCTTGTACTATCAGGAAGTTCTTCCTTGTACTTAATCTACTTTCCCTTTTTGCCATTTGAACCACCCTTTGGTTTAGATTCCAGCATGTGGAGTAGTTTTCCCCAACCTGATGCCCTCTATATTTTTTGGATGGCATTCAACCACCGACCTTGGGTGAGGCTGCAGCAACCTTGAGAACCCTTGGCAGCCCACTTTGATTTAGACTTAAACCATCTGCCTCAGAAGATCAATGCTAGTGTTTTCCTTTTGCCTAACTTGGTCTGGTCCACTACCAGTGACTGATATTGGTGGATACTGGGGTATCTCTGGAAGCAGAATTTGACCAGAAGCAGGGGAGCAGGGAAGTGTCCAAATCTGCTAGAAGGGCATGCCTGAAGTAAGGAAATAAGGAAAGAGACTGCCAGTGAAATTGGTGCCAGACTGCAATTTGAAAAAAAGAACATCTGTAAATAGCCTTCTGTAGAACGATAAGGAGAAAATCAAATCAGGAGGTGGAGAAAACAATGGAGGTCAAGTCTAGGCCAATACCTCCCAAAAACAGCAAAACAACTAAAGATTGGTGAACTTTTAATGACTACAACTTCCACCTTCCCTGACAATCTATCTATAAAACACACAGAGACTGTGGCCAATTATTTCATCATTTTTTGCTATTCTTCTTCTTAATCCTTCTTGGAAATTTTCCAATAACGCATACGGCAAGCCTTACCTTCTGTGGTGGTCATGGGGGACTTAGAAACATATACTAAGAATCTACAAGTATGTGTTTTAGAACAGAAAAAATGAACCTATATATTTAGCCTAGTATATTAGAACAAATAAATGATTTATTCCCCTGATATTTTTTAACACGATTCTAACCTGACTGACTATTCTCTGCTATTGTAATTTTGTACCTTTCCCCATTTATTATATTTCATTTTTGCATGTACAGTCATACTTTGTGTTGCGTTAGGTTCATGTTGCGTCTTTTCGGCTTGCGAACGCGGCAAACCCCGAAGTGTATACTTCCGGGTTTCACCACTCATGTGTGCGCAGAAGCACTCTGCAAGCTTTGCACATGCACAGAAGTGCTCTATTGCGTCGTGCATGTGCACAGAAACGGCGCTCTAGTTACGCACTTTTTGGGGTGCAAATGGCACCCCGGAACTGATTGAGTCTGTAACTAGAGGTACCACTGTATGCTTTAATTGTTGCTGCAAACAGCCCTGGGAATAGAGTTAGAGGATGCAATAAAAACAAATATTAGAGCTGTGCTCCAGATCCAGCTGGATCCTGGATCCCAAGTCAAATCAGAACATGAACATGGGGGGTGGGGTAGGGTGTGGCACATGTTCTGTCATGGCTCACCTTGAACAGTCCATAATAATAGTAAGATGGCAGCAGAGAGGCAATGAAGGATCTTCATGACTGAAGTTCAGCTGGAGTCTCGGTAACCTTAGAAAGAAGACACACTGAGATGAAAGCAGACTGGATAAGAAATTTGTGCACTTATTAAGCCAGGGGTTGCCAGTGTAGTGTCCATGGGCACCGGTGTGCCCCCAATATCTCCTATGGTGCCCACAAAGGCACTCAGTAAATATCTCCTCACCAATCCCCGAAAAACAAGATGCTCTTACTGTCCAGTCTCTGTTTGTGCTGGCTTAGACCCTCCTATGTTGAATACACCCCCTTAAAGATGCCTGTATTTCACTGAATGCCAGGACTGGACACCCACCCTCCCATCAGTTCTGGACAGACAGGAGAAGAGCTTCTCTCTGCAAGCCAACACAGTGATGGATAATAAAGTATAAATACCAACAATTGCGAGCGCTCCAATTGGAGAACAGCCTTTACCAAAGGTGTCACATGGACTTTGAAGAAACTCGAATTCAGGTCGAAAGGGAGAAACGTGCTAAGAGGAAGGCACGTTTGGCAAACCCTCACCATGATCAACTCCTGCCCGGAAACCTATGCCCCCACTGTGGCAGGATGTATGGATCCAGAATTGGCCTACACAGTCACTGTTAAGCCCATGTTCATGGAAGGCAATCTTACTCGGCTACGAGTGATCACCAAAGCAGAAGGATGATGAAAGTGCTTTTCCTGCCATGGATGGACTGGCAGATAGGGAGGGAGGTGCCTACACCATTTGGTGACCCTGCCTCTTTCTCTGCACTGTCAAGATGTGGCAACCTTTATGTCATGCCCCCCGTGGCAGCCATTTTGTGGCTGGTGCTCATGGCAAATGTGCCCAAAAGGTTTGCTTGACCCCTCTCCTAGTCTAACCAGCTCACCACACTGGGCCTCACCCATGGATCCTTTTGTGATGACAGTAGCACTGTAAATACTGGAGCTTGCTCGGAATTCCAAGGAGGAACAGGTTTGTCAGTTGGTATGAAGGCAGTTACAGGGGCCTGAAAGAGGAAGACCTGTGTGTGTGTGTGTGTGTGTGTGTGTGTGTGTGTGTGTGTGTGTGTTACACAGTGCAATTCTATATCTGCCTCCTCAGAGAGACTGCTATATGCATAAAGACGGAAAGATACAACTGTACCCACTATAGAAGAATGGCTGATAAAATCATTGGATCTGGCTGAGATGGTGAAGTTAACATGTCTAACAACGGAAAAATAATTGCTGACATTTGCTAAGGATGGGAAATTTCTTATGGACTTTGTGCGTGAAAGACAAAATAGACTTGTAATATTATATGTATATTATATGTAGCTGCAGGACAGAGAGCCAGAAGTCCCTTTACTTTTTTCTTTATTTTGGTAGCTCTTCCTGTCTTTCCCTTTTCTCTCCATTTCTCTTTTTCTTAGGTCTCTCTCCTTTTCTGGTCTTCTTTCTTGTTCTTCATTATGACTTGGTCCTTTTTTTAGACTAAGTAGCTGTCTTACCTTAGTATGTTATTTTAAGGTAAAGGTAAAAAGGCAAAGGACCCGTGGACGGTTAAGTCCAGTCCAAGGCAACTATGGGGTTGCGACGCTCATCTCGCTTTCAGGCTGAGGGAGCCGGCGTTTGTTTACAGACAGTTTTCCAGGTCATGTGGCCAGCATGACTAAACTGTTACTGGTGCACTAAGGACCGTGACGAGTGCTTTGTAATGGGTATGTATTTCTGTATATCTATGAATAAGTATCACACACACAAACACACATCTGCCTCCTCAGAAATAAATATCATTGGGCTCAGTGGGTCTTACTCCCAGGTCAATGTGTAGTGTATACAATTGCATTCATAATGATCTCTCTCTCTCTCTCTCTCTCTCTCTCTCGTGAATGAAGTTCATGTCTCAACAGAAGTCATTCATATGCAATAACGTATCACGTGCCAAGTGTTCACATGATTTATGGGCTGGCTCACACTTACACATGCATCAGATATTGGCCTCAGCATCCGATGATGCTTTTCATTACACTCGTAATTTTCACATTGTTCACATCGATTCCAAAATAGCAGTCACATGCAACGATACGCATACCCTGATTCAGCACTCTCTGCAGCTGTGTAGTCTTTTTGAGTTTAGCCTTTGAAAATAAAAGGAAATCTAGAACTATCCAATTGCTCCCCCCCCCCCCGAGACTCTTGTGCCCAGCCAGTTCCTCCACAATACGCACACAGAGAAAAACATACCTTGACAGGAAAATGAAAGAAAAAACCCTTTTACCTTTGTGACGGGGAAGAGGGATATTGATTTCAGGGAGATCTTGAAGAGAGCCTCTCTGCCTATCTGACTCTGAGCTGAAAATGACTACCATACGGAAGCTCAGAGGTGTAGTTTCCTGCCAGGCTCATGGGGACTGTAGTTTTCTCAACTTCCTGATTCGAATGCCAAAGAAAGCAACGTTCTGCAATATGCCTCTGGGTATCCGTTTCTGGGAACTGCAAATGGAGAGAGGCCTATTGTGACTGTTAGATAGATGTGCAAATATAGGATAGGGGATACCTGGCTTGACAGCACACCACGTGAAACGGATATGGAGTTTTTAGTGGACCACAAGTCCGGCATGAGTCAACAGTGTGATGCAGCAGCAAAAATAAAACTAATGCAGTTCTAGGATGCATCAACAATAGAGTCCAGCTCCAGCGAAGTAATAGTAATACATTGGTACCTCGGGTTACAGGCGCTTCAGGTTACAAAGCTTCAGGTTACAGACGCCGCTAACCCAGAAATAGTACTTTGGGTTAAGAACTTTGCTTCAGGATGAGAACAGAAATAATGCGGTGGCGGTGTGGTGGCAGCGGGAGGCCCCACTAGCTAAAGTGGTACCTCAGGTTAAGAACAGTTTCAGGTTAAGAATGCACCTCCAGAATGAATTAAGTTCTTAACCCAAGGTACTACTGTAGAAGTAAAAAGATTTAGTTACAGGTAGGTAGCCATGTTGGTCTGCCGTAGTCGGGGGGGGGGGATTCCTTCCAGTAGTACCTTAGAGACCAGCTAAGTTTGTTCTTGGTATGAGCTTTCGTGTGCATACACACTTCTTCAGATACACTGAAAAAGAAGTCACCAGACCCTTATATATAGTGAGAGGTTGGGGAGGGGTATTACTCAGAAGGGTGTTGGGAATGGGTGATTGGCTGAAAGGTGTGGTAAACCTGTTGACGACTGTTAATGACTGCAATTGTTCTTACAGGAAAAAGCAAGGGATGAGATGGCTAAAAATAGCTTTATCATGTATACTGAGATAAGAATCCAATGTCTCTATTCAGACCAGGGCTCTCCATGGTTTTAAGTTTGGAAATAAGTTGCAATTCAGCAACTTCTCTTTCCAGTCTATTTCTGAAATCCTTTTGTAATAAGACAGCTACTTTGAGATCTTGTATATAATGTCCTGGGAGATTGAAGTGTTCTCCTAAAAGTGAAAAGTGAAAATTGACAAGCTGGAACATTTGCAGAGGAGGGTGGAGAAGATGATCAATGGTCTGGAAACTAAGCCTTATGAGGAACGGTTGAGGGATAAGAGGAGACTGACAGGTGACAAGTTAGTCATATCCAACTACATAAAGGGCTGTCACATGGAAGATGGAGCAAGCTGGTTTTCTCCGGCTCTGGAGGGTAGGATTCAAACCATGCCAGGGATGCTAACTTGAATAAAATATTGGGGGAGGGCAGGTAAGCCCCACCCTGCATAACTGATCACATGACACAGTACACACACACACACACACACACACACACCATTTGAATGGCAATGCCCATCAACTTTGGGGTGGCCCAGCCTCCTCAAATATTTTATTGCAGGGGGGCCTGAAGCCCCCCAGCCCCTAGGATTTGGCTCCTATGAACCATGCAATTCCCCTCAGCTTGAATGCCAAAGGTTCCAGGTTTCTTCCCTGGCATCTCAAAGTAGAATTAGGAGAAATTGTTGCTGAAAACCCTGTTTATGGCTCGCAGCTGGCTTGTTGCTATTGGGATTGGGGGGGAAATTGCTTTGGTGTGCATGTAAAGGCATATTTATCTACTTACCCCCCCAAAAAAAATAATAATATGCCAACCGAAACATTGATTCTTTGGAATTCGCACTTATATGAATTTTGGGATAGAGAATCATAGGAGAGTTGGGTCCTTGAGGACATCTGCTAGCCACTGCAATGTAGGATCTAGTTCTCCAACCAGTGTTTGCGAGAATGCATATTTTAGAAGATAGCATGCATAAAAATGAAGATATTTGTTACTATAACATACAAAAACGCATCTATATTCAGAGTGATCGCTTGCAAAAAAAGAAGTGTGCAAGTTAGTCAAAAGAGCTTATAAAAATGCTTTTATTAGAAGCAGTTCGGACTAAAAGGATGGTGAATTTTAATGAGGTTTTTGTTCAGACAAAAAAAGCTAATTGCTGCAAAATGTAGAGAAGTGAATTGAAGTTTGGAAACCGAGAGAACCGAAATAAACTGATCCCTCCATCCCTAGCTGCTATACAAAATTCATGCTAAGCTTGGGTCCAGGAAATACTTTGCTTCCTTCAAGATGGTATAGCAGGGTGGAAGGTGTCCAAGGCAGCCATTTCAGAGGCCTGAGACAAAACTCTTCTCCTGTTGCTGCAGAGAGCCTGTAGGGTGTGTACTTCGTGCAGTGCATAGTTAAACTGTGGAACTCTCTCCCACAGGAGTCAGTGAAGACAACCAACCTAGAGGGCTTTGTTCTGCCCTCCACAGTTTGAGGCAGCAATGCTTCTGAATACCAGCTGCTGGAAACCACAAAAGGGGAGAGCACTCTCGTGTTCAAATCCTACTTCTCACAGGCATCTGGTTGGCCACTGTGAGAACAGGATGCTGGACTTGATGGGCCATCAGCCTCTTCCAGCAGAGCTCTTCTTAGGTGCAACAGGCTTTTGTGGTGCTCCAGAAGCCCCCCGCAAAACCTGTTTGATCACACTTAAGTATGTGTTGCTCATGGAAATGAATGTCTACTGTATTGCCAATATCTCTGCAAAGCTTCCATTCCAAGTGCCCATACAGAAGGAGCATTATGTTCCGAACTGTGTAACTCAAATAAGCCCCCACCCCAAGGCTGTATGATCCCATGTTTACATCACTGGAGCAAAATGCTTCCTTTTTTAGATTTTGCATTGCTTCTCTAAAGTTTGGACCTGGGTGGTGACATGTGAAGTCCAAATTAGGTGGCCTTGGATGTAACCACATCAATACAATGTAGACAGAGCTATAAAAAGGTAAAGGCAAAGGACCTCTGACTGTTAAGTCCAGTCACAGAGGACTCTGGGGTTGTGGCGCTCATCTTGCTTTATAGGCTGAGAGAACCGGCGTTTGTCCGCAGACAGTTTTTCCAGGTCATGTGGCCAGCATGACTAAGCCGCTTCTGGCGCAACGGAACACCGAAACCAGAGCAGCGCACGGAAACGCCGTTTACCTTCCCGCTGGAGTGGTACCTATTTATCTACTTGCACTGACGTGCTTTTGAACTGCTAGGTTGGCAGGAGCTGGGACCAAGCAACGGGAGCTCACCCCGTTGTGGGGATTCGAAGGGCTGACCTTCTGATCGGCAAGCCCAAGAGGCTCAGTGGTTTAGACCGCAGCACCACACAGAGCTATACTGATGCACAAATAGTAGACAGGAATGTGTTAGACTTCTGGAATCTGCAGACTGATGCAATTGCTTCAACTTGTTTCATGGCTTGACTGGCCTTCTTCAGTAGTATATCAAAGCATCTATTTCCAGCTGTTTCGGGTGAAATGCATCTTTTTCAAGCTATCCTTTATTCTCCTTGCCCTACACAGGCTTGGTAAGGGATCTTGCGCTGGCTGGCCTGGAAAAACAGGACTGCTACCTGTCCGTTGACATATTTGTCCTATTGACCATTTCAAAACAGTTTAAAGATCCTATTAAAAAATGGGAATGTCACCTGCCAAACCAGTCCAGTGCTGGATTTACTAAACAAGCTATAGCTTAGGGCCCAAAAGTTAGAGCTTAATCATTATTTCACTATTAATATACTTCTTCTTAATTGTATTTCAGTGCAACAATTACATTGATAAATTACATAATCAGGTACAAGCTAAAGCAGGGGAAACCCAGCCAGATGGGCGGGGTATAAATAAGTTGTTGTTGTTGTTGTTGTTGTTGTTGTTGTTGTTGTTGTTGTTACTTAGCAGGGGAGCACTGGAGGTGCAAATGACTACCAGATTTTGAAAAGCTGGTAGCAGACCCTCCAAGTGTCCCTATTTTCCAGGGATGTCCCTTATTTAGAAAATCTATCCCAGTTTCTGATTTGATCCCGGAATGTTCCCACTTTTCCTGAGGATGTCCCTATTTTCATTGGAGAAATGTTGGAGGGTATGGCGTTATTTGACTCCCGAGCTGTCTGAAGGCAATCCTGTATAGGGAAGTTTTTTCAATGTTTAATGTTTTATTATGCTTTTATATACAGTTGTACCTTGGTTGTCAAATGCCTTGTGACTCAAATGTTTTGGCTCCGCAAACCCAGAAGTGAGTGTTCTTGTTGGTGAACATTCTTTGGAACCCAAATGTCCAACGTGGCTTACATGGCTTCTGATTGAGTGCAGGAAGTTCCTGCAGCCAATCGGAAGCAGCCCCTTGGTTTTCGAACGTTTTCCTTCCATTTGAGAACCAAGGTACGACTGTATGTTGGAAGCTGCCCAGAGTGGCTGGGGCAACCCAATAAGATGTGTGGCGTATAAATAGTAAAATAATCATTATGGAATGGGACGTCCCTATTTTCATCGGATAAATGTTGGAGGTTATGTGATAACACTGCATCAAGTTCATCAACTTTGTTGAATTAATTAAACTAAATGGGATTTGAATTAATGCATAATAAATTGTTACTGTTTTGAATTTTATTGTGCTCTGATCATCCTTAGTGAGTCATGCAAACTGCAAATCTGAATGATGCTTTCTATTGGGTAGGTTAGGAGACTATTTCTGGAACCAAGGAGGTGTTAAGTATAGCAGTTTGATTCATGGAAATTGTAAATGCTTGTATGCATTACTATGTGTTTAAATCAGATTGATTGGTAACTGATTAGTTGGTAACTAGAGAGTTCACTAGTAGTTCTTACGTGATTGGCTAACGATGGTCACATGAGGGTATCTAGTGAAGGAGAGACTCAATTTTATGTGAAGCAAGATGACTGTGTTTCAGAATCCACTGTGAACGCTACTGAGTTGAATAGAGTGTTGGAGTGCTTCTTCTCTGCTTGAAAAGAAAGAAAGCAAAGATGCAGGAGAAGGTAAAAGTGGAAATATATCATAGGAGCTGTAAGGCATGGCCTAACTGTATCTTTTTAATTGCTACCTGGGAGCCTTCAACTGTCAATGACAAGGGATGAGTGTGCTGGTCCCGTGGGTTTCCATGAGGCGTGGTGCGAGTCCCGTCCAAGGTCGAGGGTGCATTATTGAGGCCATCCGTCAAAGCTGAAGCTAGGTCCAAGGTAGGTAGTTGGGCGAGGTCAGGTGATCTGGCAGGACAGGGTGCAGGCAGGAACTGGCTACCAACAACGTTGCTCCCGCAACTTGGGACTGAGGCTGGCTGGCTTTTATCTGCCCCGAGGCATAGGGCAGCCCCAGTCCACAGGTGACTCGCCTCTCCTGGTCTGGAGGCGAGCACTCCTCCTGCGGGAACTTAATAATAATAATAATAATAATAATTTATTATTTGTACCCCGCCCATCTGACTGGGTTTCCCCAGCCACTCTGGGCGGCTTCCATAGAAACCAAAAATACACTAAAATATCACAGATTAAAAACTTCCCTGAACAGGGCTGCCTTAAGATGTCTTCTGAATGTCAGGTAGTTATTTATTGCTTTGACATCTGGTGGGAGGGCGTTCCACAGGGCGGGCGCCACTACCAAGAAGGCTCTCTGCCTGGTTCCCTGTAGCTTTGCTTCTCGCAATGAGGGAACCGCCAGAAGGCCCTCGGCGCTGGACCTCAGCGTCCGGGCAGAACGATGGGGGTGGAGACACACCTTCAGGTATACTGGGCCGAGGCCGTTTAGGGCTTTAAAGGTCAACACCAGCACTTTGAATTGTGCTCGGAAACGTACTGGGAGCCAATGTAGGTCTTTCAAGACCAGTGTTATGTGGTCTCGGCGGCCGCCCCCAGTCACCAGTCTAGCTGCCGCGTTCTGGATTAGTTGTAGCTTCCGAGTCACCTTCAAAGGTATCCCCACGTAGAGCACATTGCAGTAGTCCAAGCAGGAGATAACTAGAGCATGCACCACTCTGGCGAGGCAGTCCACGGGCAGGTAAGGTCTCAGCCTGCATACCAGGTGGAGTTGATAGACAGCTGCCCTGGATACAGAATTGACCTGTGCCTCCATAGACAGGTGTGAGTCCAAAATGACTCCCAGGCTGCGCACCTGGTCCTTCAGGGGCACAGTTACCCTATTCAGGACCAGGGAGTCCTCCACACCAGCCCACCCCCTGTCCCCCAAAAACAGTACTTCTGTCTTGTCAGGATTCAACTTCAATCCATTAGCCGCCATCCATCCTCCAACCGCCTCCAGGCACTCACACAGGACCTTCACCGTCTTCACTGGTTCTGATTTGAAAGAGAGGTAGAGCTGGGTATCATCTGCATATTGATGGACACCCAGTCCAAACCCCTGATGATCTCTCCCAGCGGCTTCATAGAGATGTTAAAAAGCATGGGGGAGAGGACGGAACCCTGAGGCACCCCACAAGTGAGGGCCCAGGGGTCTGAACACTTATCCCCCACCACCACTTTCTGAACACGGCCCAGGAGGAAGGAGCGAAACCACTGTATAACAGTGCCCCCAGCTCCCAGCCCCTCTAGACAGTCCAGAAGGATGTTATGGTCGATTGTATCAAAGGCCGCTGAGAGATCCAACTAGGAAACAACTCTCACCTTTGTCCCTAGCTCGCCGGAGATCATCAACCAGCGCGACCAAGGCAGTTTCAGTACCATGATGAGGCCTGAATCCCGATTGGAAGGGATCCAAATGGTCCGCATCCTCCAGGCGTGCCTGGAGTTGTTCAGCAACCACGCGCTCAATCACCTTGCCCAAGAATGGAAGATTTGAGACTGGGCGATAGTTGGCCATACTGGCTGGGTCTAAAGATGATTTTTTAAGAAGCGGTTTAATGACTGCCTCTTTCAGCGGATCTGGGAACGTTCCCTCACAGAGGGAAGCATTCACCACCCCGCAGAGCCCATTGCCCAGCCCTTCCCGGCTTGCTTTTATTAGCCAGGATGGGCAAGGATCAAGGAGACAGGTGGTTGGTTTCACGCATCCAAGCAGCCTGTCCACATCCTCGGGGGTAACAGATTGAAATTGATTCCATGCAACTTGACCAGACAGAGCTCTAGCACTCTCCCGCCCCAGCCCTGCTCCCATTGTGGTGTCTAGCTCCTTCTGAATATGAGTGATTTTATCTGCAAAAAACTTTGCAAAATCGTTGCAGGAGATCTTGGGGTCTTTACAAGGCCCCGGTGGTAAAGGTGGTTCCGTTAAATTGCGAACCACCTGAAAGAGTCTCCTGCTACTATTTTCTGCAGATGCAATAGAGGCGGTGAAGAAAGTCTTCTTCGCCGTTGCTATCGCCACTTGGTAGGCTTGCCATTGAGCTCTAACCTGTGTCAGATTCGGAGTGAGTTTTCTGCCACCGACGCTCTAGCCATCTCAGGGATTGTTTCATCGCCCTCAGCTCTGAAGAAAACCACGGGGCTGTCCGGGCTCCATGCAATTGGAGAGGGCGCTTCGGAGCCAGACAGTCGATAGCCCTGGTTAACTCTGCATTCCAGTGGGCCACCAGGGAATCAGCTGAAAGGCCATCAACATGGGATAAAGCATCCCCTACCACTCTCTGGAAACCATTTGGATCCATTAAGTGGCGGGGGTGGACCATCCGAATTGGTCCCACCTCCCTGCAGAGGGGAAGGGTCGCGGAGAAGTCCAGTTGCACCAGGAAGTGATCTGACCATGGCACTTCTTTTGTTTCACTTTTACTTAGTGTCAGATCACCCACGTCACTAGAGGTGAACACCAGGTCTAAGGCATGTCCATGACTATGAGTTGGGCCAAACTTATTCAGGGACAGCCCCATGGAGGCCATGCTTTCCACGAAGTCCCGAGCAGCCCCTTGCAAGGTTGTGTCGGCATGAATGTTAAAATCCCCTAGGACAACCACTTAGTTTCCTCCGCCTCTCTGCCTCTGCAGAGGCCTCTGCAGCTCAGGAGAGGCTGGAGGGTTACCGAACCCAGAGGCAACCTCAGCTTCCTCTGACGGGGCTGAGAGTGGAGCACCTGCAGGCAATGGGTCCGCCATCATCTCAGGAGCCAGAGCAGACTCAGCTGGTGCCTGCACCTGAGGATCCAGCACAGGTGAGGACCCTTCAGGCTCAAGCCCCAGCCCCAGCTCAGCTGGTTCTGGAGGCGGGGACTCCTGTGCAGGCTGGGATTCCTCAGGTTCAGCCTCCGAGTCCGTATCCCAGGCCATCACAATGAGCTTGAGAAGAGTACATTTGGTCCCTCCAGATGTTGTGGGGCTACAACTCCCATCAACCCTGTTCCTTCTGACTGGAGCTGGTGAGAGCTAGACTCAAGGAACATACTGAGCTCTGCTGCTTTACCTTTTCCACGCCCTAGCCAATGCACATACTTTTATCCATAGGAGCCAACTTCTAGGAGCCAAAGTCCAATCACCCCCACAATACCCCCCCCCCAAGTTGATGGGCATTGCCATTCAAATGGTGTGTGCATGCTCCATTTGATCAATTATGTAGAGTGGAGCTTACCTGCACACATCCCCCCCCCATATTTTATTCAAGTTGGCACCTCTGTCTTGCTGCTGAGATGTGGTCTTTTCCATGATCCTCTCCCGCACCCTGTCTCACACAGTACAACCATTTATCACATCACACACAACCATAAATATCAGGACGATTGAGGATCACAAAATGGAAGTTGCTCCTTTATTGTTGTTGTTTTTTAAGATGCTGAGCACACAGTTACAGATTTATACCATATTTGTTGTGTTTACCAAGTCCCATTGGCATTCACTTTTCTGACTTGGACAGTCATTGCACGGCTTAGTTTCAACACTGCCATGCTGACTTTTGTAAATTTGTGCTACTTGTCAGTTCACCAAAGGGAGCAACATTTCCTGCCAGGACCACACGGGATCTGAATCTGTAGAGTCGTCCTGCATTTTGCTCTTTTTGGTCGGCAGACACCTCCCAGCTTTCGGCAGTGCAGGGCCCCTGAATGAAAGAGACACATAACTCTGTCATGATTGGGAACTTATCCTACAAGGACAAGGAAGAAGAAAAAGAAGAGGAAGAAGAAGAAGAAGAAGAAGAAGAAGAAGAAGAAGAAGAAGAAGAAGAAGAAGAAGAAGAAGAAGAAGAGCAACCAGATGTACAAATATAAGATGGGGGACACCTGGCTTATTAGCAGTACATGTGCAAAGGATCTAGTGGTCTTCACATTTTTTGCAACAGCAAAAAAAGAGCTAACACTACTCTACGCTGTATCAACAGAAGTACAGTGGTACCTCAGGTTACAGATGCTTCAGGTTACAGACTCCACTAACCCAGAAATGGTACTTCGGGTTAAGAACTTTGCTTCAGGATGAGAACAGAAATCGCACAGCAGCAGTGGGAGGCCCCATTAGCTAAAGTGGTGCTTCAGGTTAAGAACAGTTTCAGGTTAAGAACGGACCTCCAGAACAAATTAAGTTCTTAACCCGAGGTACCACTTTATAGTGCCCAGATCAAGGGAAGTAATAGTACCGCTCTATTCTGTCTTGTTCAGACCACACCTGGAATACTGTGTCCAATGCCAGGCACCACAATTTAAGAAGGATGTTGACAAGCTGGAACGTGTGCAGAAGAGGGCAGCCAAGATGATCAAGTGTCTGGAAACCAAGCCTTATGAGGAGCGGGTGAAGGAGCTACAGATGTTTAACCTGGAAAAGAGGGGACTGAGAGAAGATATGATAACCACCTTCAAATAAGTCAAGGGCTGTCACATGGAAGAAGAGTGCTTGTTTCCTCCTGCTCCGGGGGGCAAAGCAGTTATGATTAAAACAAATGGCTTCAAGTTAAAAGGAAGGAGATTCCAACTAAACATCAGGAAAAACTTTCTGACAGTAAGAGCTGTTCAAGAGTGAAACGGTCTCCTTTGGGAAGTTGTGGACTCTTCTTGGAGGTTTTCAAGCAAAGGTTGACTGGCCATCTGTCATGGATGCGTTACTTGGGATTCCTGCATTGCAGAGGGTTGGACTAGATAACCCGTGAGGGTCCCTTCCAACTCTACAATTCTATGATTCTATGATAAACTATAGTGCATGGTGCTGGAATGTCTTATGTCAACAATGGTGATTTTTTAAAAAAAACAAGCAAACAAACAAACAACCACACACACACAAATGAAGTGAGGAAAAGGGGAGAATGGAAGACATTATTTGCATGCAGATACTGGCATGTCCAATCCCTGGCGTCTCCTAACGGGGACTGGAAATGATTCCAGACTGCTCACAGGCCACAGAAGATCAAAGAAAACTGTCCATGTCCATTGAAAGCTTCATTGCAGGATTTGAAACTGATGTTTGATCCAAAGAACCAAAAACAGCAATATGGCTCTGGAGGAGATGCAGACATCAGGGCAGTCTACAAACATGGACCTATGTGGCTGGACAAATCATGGACTGAAAATGGATGAACCCATTAAAACAGAAAATAAATAAATAAATAAATAAATAAATAAATAAGCCTCCCAAATCAGGCCAGTGGCTCTTCTAGTTCATTATCATGTTCTCACAGTGGGTAATGAGATTTGGACATCACTAATCTCACCTCCTCCAACTAAGAGCAACAGGTATTCAAAGGAATAATGTGTCTGACATTGGGGGTAGAATGTAAGAATGTCTGTATAATCTCAATATCAAGGGAAAAATAGATACCTACCTCTGAGGCCAGAAAAGAACTGTCTTAGGATACGGAAAGGAAGTATGTGATCAAGGTGATCATAATCGGTTTCCTCCTCAGAATCAGGATCACCTTCCGAAGGAAAATCAATTTCATCAAATGCTTCATCAGATGAGGTGCTTTTGTGCCCAGGGACTTCCTCCTGTTGGGAAGGTGCAGATGAGGTGGCCTTCTGGTTAGGAATTTGCTCCTGTTGGGAAGGTGCAGATGAGGTGGCCTCCTGGTCAGAGACTTCCTGCTCCTGCTGGGAAGGTGCAGATGAGGGGGCCTTCTGCTCAGGGACCTGCTGCTCAGGTTGGGAAGGTGCAGATGAAGGGGCCTTCTCCTCCGGGACTTGCTGCTCCTGCTGGGAAGGTGCAGATGAGGGGGCCTTCTCCTCAGGGACTTGCTCCTCCTGCTGGGACGGTGCAGATGAAGGGGCCTTCTCCTCAGGGACTTGCTGCTCCTGCTGGGAAGGTGCAGATGAGGTGGCCTTCTGGTTAGGAATTTGCTCCTGTTGGGAAGGTGCAGATGAGGTGGCCTCCTGGTCAGAGACTTCCTGCTCCTGCTGGGAAGGTGCAGATGAGGGGGCCTTCTGCTCAGGGACCTGCTGCTCAGGTTGGGAAGGTGCAGATGAAGGGGCCTTCTCCTCCGGGACTTGCTGCTCCTGCTGGGAAGGTGCAGATGAGGGGGCCTTCTCCTCAGGGACTTGCTCCTCCTGCTGGGACGGTGCAGATGAAGGGGCCTTCTCCTCAGGGACTTGCTGCTCCTGCTGGGAAGGTGCAGATGAGGGGGCCTTCTGCTCAGGGACTTGCTGCTCCTGTTGGGAAGGTGCAGATGAAGGGGCCTTCTCCTCAGGGACTTGCTGCTCCTGCTGGGAAGGTGCAGATGAGGGGGCCTTCTCCTCAGGGACTTGCTTCTCCTGATGGGACGGTGCAGATGAAGGGGCCTTCTCCTCAGGGACTTGCTGCTCCTGCTGGGAAGGTGCAGATGAAGGGGCCTTCTCCTCAGGGACTTCCTCCTGCTGAGAAGGTGCAAATGAGGGGGCCTTCTCCTCAGGGACTTGCTGCTCTTTTTGGGAAGGTGCAGATGAGGGAGGCTTCTCCTCAGGGACTTGCTGCTCTTTTGGGGAAGGTGCAGATGAGGGGGCCTTCTGGTCAGGGACTTCCTGCTCCTGCTGTGAAGGTGCAGATGAGGGGGCCTTCTGCTCAGGGACTTCCTCCTGCTGGGAAGGTGCGGATGAGGGGGCCTTCTCCTCAGGGACTTGCTGCTCCTGCTGGGAAGGTGCAGATGAGGGGGCCTTCTGCTCAGGGACTTCCTCCTGTTGGGACGGTGCAGATGAAGGGGCCTTCTCCTCATGGACTTGCTGCTCCTGCTGAGAAGGTGCAAATGAGGGGGCCTTCTCCTCAGGGACTTGCTGCTCTTTTTGGGAAGGTGCAGATGAGGGAGGCTTCTCCTCAGGGACTTGCTGCTCTTTTTGGGAAGGTGCAAATGAGGGGGCCTTCTCCTCAGGGACTTGCTGCTCTTTTTGGGAAGGTGCAGATGAGGGAGGCTTCTCCTCAGGGACTTGCTGCTCTTTTTGGAAAGGTGCAGATGAGGGGGCCTTCTGGTCAGGGACTTCCTGCTCCTGCTGGGAAGGTGCAGATGAGGGGGCCTTCTGCTCAGGGACTAGCTCCTCCTGTTGTGAAGGTGCAGATGAGGTGGCCTCCTGGTCAGGGACTTCCTCCTGCTGGGAAGGTGCAGATGAGGGGGCCTTCTGCTCAGGGACTTCCTCCTGCTGGGAAGGTGCGGATGAGGGGGCCTTCTCCTCAGGGACTTGCTGCTCCTGCTGGGAAGGTGCAGATGAGGGGGCCTTCTGCTCAGGGACTTCCTCCTGTTGGGACGGTGCAGATGAAGGGGCCTTCTCCTCATGGACTTGCTGCTCCTGCTGAGAAGGTGCAAATGAGGGGGCCTTCTCCTCAGGGACTTGCTGCTCTTTTTGGGAAGGTGCAGATGAGGGAGGCTTCTCCTCAGGGACTTGCTGCTCTTTTTGGGAAGGTGCAAATGAGGGGGCCTTCTGCTCAGGGACCTGCTGCTCAGGTTGGGAAGGTGCAGATGAAGGGGCCTTCTCCTCAGGGACTTGCTGCTCTTTTTGGAAAGGTGCAGATGAGGGGGCCTTCTGGTCAGGGACTTCCTGCTCCTGCTGGGAAGGTGCAGATGAGGGGGCCTTCTGCTCAGGGACTAGCTCCTCCGGCTGAGAAGGTGCAGATGAGGGGGCCTTCTGCTCAGGGACTTGTTCCTCCTGTGGTGAAGGTGCAGATGAAGGGGCCTCCTGGTCAGGGACTTCCTCCTGCTGGGAAGGAGCAGATGAGGGGGCCTTCTCCTCAGGGACTTGCTCCTGTTGTGAAGGTGCAGATGAGGGGGCCTTCTGCTCAGGGACTTCCTCCTGCTGGGAAGGTGAGGATGAGGGGGCCTTCTGGTCAGGGACTTCCTCCTGTTGGGAAGGTGCAAATGAAGGGGCCTTCTCCTCAGGAACTTGCTGCTCCTGCTGGGAAGGTGCAGATGAGGGGGCCTTCTGCTCAGGGACTTCCTCCTGCTGGGAAGGTGAGGATGAGGGGGCCTTCTCCTCAGGGACTTGCTGCTCCTGCTGGGAAGGTGCAGATGAGGGGGCCTTCTGCTCAGGGACTAGCTCCTCCTGCTGGGAAGGTGCAGATGAGGGGGCCTTCTGCTCAGGGACTTCCTCCTGCTGGGAAGGTGCGGATGAGGGGGCCTTCTGGTCAGGGACTTCCTGCTCCTGCTGGGAAGGTGCAGATGAGGGGGCCTTCTGGTCAGGGACTTCCTGCTCCTGCTGGGAAGGTGCAGATGAGGGGGCCTTCTCCTCAGGGACTTCCTCCTGTTGGGACGGTGCAGATGAAGGGGCCTTCTCCTCAGGGACTTGCTGCTCCTGCTGGGAAGGTGCAGATGAGGGGGCCTTCTCCTCAGGGACTTCCTCCTGCTGGGAAGGTGCAGATGAGGGGGCCTTCTGCTCAGGGACTAGCTCCTCCTGCTGGGAAGGTGCAGATGAGGGGGCCTTCTCCTCAGGGACTTGCTCCTGTTGTGAAGGTGCAGATGAGGTGGCCTCCTGGTCAGGGACTTCCTGCTGCTGCTGTGAAGGTGCGGATGAGGGGGCCTTCTGCTCAGGGACTTCCTCCTGCTGGGAAGGTGCAGATGAGGGGGCCTTCTGCTCAGGGACTTCCTCCTGTTGGGAAGGTGCAAATGAAGGGGCCTTCTCCTCAGGAACTTGTTCCTCCTGCTGGGAAGGTGCAGATGAGGGGGCCTTCTGCTCATGCCCCTCATCCTGTTGTTGAGGAGGAGATGCCATTTCAGTCTTTCTTAGCTCTTCCTCTTCTTGTAAGGGAAGAATCACGCTCCCTGAAAATAAATTATGGAATTGCTTATATCAGCTTTTCTTGTTGATTTTAGGTTGTTGTGGGTATCAGCTGCTTGAGAAGACTTCTTTAGAAGACAGAGAGCCATAGATTCTTACATCCTAATTACAGAGCATTGACCCCGTTTATTCTCTACTTCCAACTTCTCCTAGTCTCCTGATACTCTGCCATTTTACATTGGCCTTTCTAGTTGCCACTCCTCTCCTCTCAGGCACCCCTCAATGTGGTAACATTCATAATCTCTATTTTCTGTTTCATGGGGTACCAAGTAGGTTAGCAGCTGTACTTCCTGAGTTACTCTTGGCACATCTGACATGACTTTTATTTGATTCTGATCAGGACATTTTGCTGGTCAGAGCAATTCCCTTATCAGTAAGCAGACTTTTTTTGTTTTCTGCTTATGCAAGTATTCAAGATCTTGAGGTCCCCCCCCCCATAGTGGGGGGGGGGAATGCAGTTTTCCTCAGAGGGATATCTCCCCAAAGTATAAGCCATGAGTTCAGTGCTGAAACCAGGAAGCTGCACCCATATAAGATGGCATGCCAGTAATACATGCAAAAAGGATCTGGGGATCTTAGTAGACCACAAGCGTAACATTAGTCAGTAGAGTGATGCAGCAGCAGCAAAAATAAATAAATAAATAAATAAAAGGGCTAATGCTATTCTAGGCTGCATTCAGGGACGTCTTAACTGTTATCTCTCTCTTTTTTAAATGTAAAATTGTAATTTATTTCCCTCCCAAGTATCCAGAATAGCCCATCAATAAACAAATTAACAAAATGATGTTCATGTGGAAGTAAAGGAAGAAGCGGTGAGATTACACCAAAGGAAACCTAGAAGTCCTGTTAATGGGATAGTGCAAGTTAACAACATGTTGCTGTCCATGTCAACACCTTCGTTTGGATTTTAAAAAAAGTTTTACCTAACGATTTGATGAAATAAGAACTTTGGAAAGATGCTGTCCATAATGACACTCATGTATTTACAAACTGCAGGGAGGAAAGGGGGGAAAAAGATTAAAAATAATAACACAGAGAATTTATGAAAATATAGGTTTCTTATTTCCACCTCCTGTGGTGCATGACACCACAGTGCTGGGCTCCCAGGGGACCTAGTGGGCTCTTTTGCTGCGGGATGTGCATGAGTTCGAGGCCGAGTGAGGTGCTGAGGCAGCTGCCCGGCTCCTCCCTGCACGCCTGGGCTTGGAGTAGGGCTGTCAAAGGGCAATTAAAGTAAGACAATTAACAAAGCCACTAGTTGGAAAGACCATGATCTCAGAAATGTCTACAGGAATATTTATTGGCAACCAAATTGGCTGGGTGCCTTTCTGATAAGCTGGCAGAGGAATCTTTGCACCATGGCGCCGGATATGCCTAAGATGGCCCTGGCTGCATTAATAGAAGTTGAATGTCCAGATCAACAGAAGTAATAGTACCGCTCTATTCTGCCTTGGTCAGACCCCAACCGGAGTACGATGTCCAGTTCTGGTCGCCACAGTTTAAGAAGGATATTGACAAGCTGGAACCTGTGCAGAGAAGGGTAACCAAGATGATCAATGGTCTGGAAACCAAGCCTTATGGGGAGTGCTTGAAGGAGCTGGGTATGTTTAGCTTGGAAAAGAGGAGATGTGATAGCCATCTTCAAATATTGACTGTGGAACAGACTCCCATGAGAAGTGGTGGAGTTCCTTGAAGGTTCTAAATCAAAGCGTGCATGTTCATCTGTCATGGATGCTTTAGCTGAGATTCCTGCATTGCAGGGGGTTGGACTAGATGACCCTTGACGCCCCTTCCAGCTTTACAATTCTGCGATTTTATTATTTACATAGTTAAGCCGTGAAGTTTGCCACCACACCAGTAGTAGTAGTAGTAGTAGTAGTTGTTATCTGTTATATTTGTATGCCACATTTCCTCAAAGGAGCTCAAAGTGGCTTTCATAGTTCTCCTCCCCATTTTATCCTCACAGCAACCCTGTGAGGTATGTTGGTCAAAGTGAGCTTCATGACTGAGTGGGGATTCAAGCTCTGATCTCTCAGGTCCTAGTCTGACACTCTAACCTCTACACCAAACTGGCTCTGAATTTAGTTACAGCTTTAAATTAGGATTTGACAAAGTCTTGCCAAATATACAAATACATTTAAAAAGTTTCTTTCTTTATATATTTTTATTTTAAAGAACAAGAGAGAGACAGAGACACAGAGAAAAGAGAGAGAGAGAGAGAGAGAGAGAGAGAGAGAGAGAGAGAGAGAGAGTTGTATAACCAGACTGTGATAGCTTCTTACCTGTGGCAGGTAGGACAAGAAGAGCAAAGAGAAGATGCAACCTCATGGCTGAATGCTTCTCAGAAGACAGTCTCTCAAGCAGAAGGTGGGTTTAGCACACCCAGCTTAGTAAAGTGTGTTTAGTAAATCCATCTGATTCCAACTATTTAAGAAGTTATAGGGACAGTGGAATGTTGCAAGGTGGGTCTGTGTTTCATAAGGGTTTGTGCGCAAGTGGCAGGTTGTCATTTCTGATAAGCACCAGTTTTCACACAGTTGAAATGTTAGCTCTTTTCTCTGAATTCTACCTCTGACACAGGTAATTTAGCCAAACTCTCCCGGTACATCTCTTTTCTTGTCGCAGGAGATGCTTGCCTGTGTTGCCCAATCTTTCTTGGGGTCCCTTCCAACTCTATGATTCTGTGATTTCAGTGATGCATTCAATCATCCCTACACTGGCAAAACACAGCAAACAAAACAAAACAAAACAAAACAAACAAACAAACAAAAAACCCAACCCACCATGTGATTGTAAATGTGATCTGAAGGGCCAAAGGTTAACCACACTTGCTTTAAATAACCCCATCTTCAAATCTTTGATTTCATTGCAAATTGTCATGGTCTGTACTGAATGCTCATAGCAGACCCATTGAAACTAATGACCATTCCTAACTTAGGTCTATTAATTTTCACCCAATGCTGTTTTGTGTTGGGGTCTTTATTCTCACTTTTTGCAGCAAGGGATCAGTTGAGAATGCCAATGTTCCTATAAGGTATCAGTCAGAAGAATGTCCTCCATCTGCATTCTCCTCCTTCTCTTGTGCATTGCTCAAGAGAAAATGCTAAAGGGGATGCTATGCACACAGAGAAAATGAAACTAGAGCACCATTGGATGGGCAGTGCATCTCCATAAATCAGGGCTGGGGAACCTGTGGTCCTCCAGATGTTGTTGGACTACAGCTAGGGTTGCCAGACCTCCAGGTCTGACATGAAGTCTCCAGGATTGAATCATAGAATCATAGAATCATAGAGTTGGAAGAGACCACAAGGGCCATCGAGTCCAACCCCCTGCCAAGCAGGAAACACCATCAGAGCACTCCTGACATATGGTTGTCAAGCCTCTGCTTAAAGACCTCCAAAGAAGGAGACTCCACCACACTCCTTGGCAGCAAATTCCACTGTCAAACAGCTCTTACTGTCAGGAAGTTCTTCCTAATGTTTAGGTGGAATCTTCTTTCTTGTAGTTTGGATCCATTGCTCCGTGTCTGCTTCTCTGGAGCAGCAGAAAACAACCTTTCTCCCTCCTCTATGTGACATCCTTTTATATATTTGAACATGGCTATCATATCACCCCTTAACCTCCTCTTCTCCAGGCTAAACATGCCCAGCTCCCTTAGCCGTTCCTCATAAGGCATCGTTTCCAGGCCTTTGACCATTTTGGTTGCCCTCCTCTGGACACGTTCCAATTTGTCAGTGTCCTTCTTGAACTGTGGTGCCCAGAACTGGACACAGTACTCCAGGTGAGGTCTGACCAGAGCAGAATACGGTGGCACTATTACTTCCCTTGATCTAGATGCTATACTCCTATTGATGCAGCCCAGAATTGCATTGGTTTTTTAGCTGCCGCGTCACACTGTTGGCTCATGTCAAGTTTGTGGTCAACCAAGACTCCTAGATCCTTTTCACATGTACTGCTCTCAAGCCAGGTGTCCCCCATCTTGTATTTGTGCCTCTCATTTTTTTGCCCAAGTGCAATACTTTACATTTCTCCCTGTTAAAATTCATCTTGTTTGTTTTGGCCCAGTTCTCTAATCTGTCAAGGTCGTTTTGAAGTGTGATCCTGTCCTCTGGGGTGTTAGCCACCCTCTCAGTTTGGTGTCATCTGCAAATTTGATCAGGATGCCCTTGAGTCCATCATCCAAGTCATTGATAAAGATGTTGAATAAGACCGGGCCCAAGACAGAACCCTGTGGCACCCCACTAGTCACTCTTCTCCAGGATGAAGAGGAACCACTGATGAGCACCCTTTGGGTTCGGTCAGTCAGCCAGTTACAAATCCACTGAGTGGTAGCATAGTCAAGACCGCATTTTACCAGCTTCATTACAAGAATATCATGGGGCACCTTGTCAAATGCCTTGCTGAAATCAAGGTAGGCTACATCCACTGCGTTCCCTTCATCTACCAGGCTTGTAATTCTGTCAAAAAAACGAGATCAGGTTAGTCTGACATGACTTATTTTTCAGAAATCCATGCTGACTATTGGTGATCACAGCATTCCTTTCTAGGTGCTCACAGACTGTTTGCTTAATGATCTGCTCCAGAATCTTCCCTGGTATTGATGTCAGACTGACTGGGCGGCAATTATTTGGGTCCTCTCTTTTCCCCTTTTTGAAAATAGGGACAACATTTGCCCTCCTCCAGTCTGCCGGGACTTCGCCTGTTCTCCAGGAATTCTCAAAGATGACTGCCAGTGGTTCTGAGATCACATCTGCCAGTTCTTTTAATACTCTTGGATGCAGTTCATCTGGCCCTGGAGACTTGAATACATCTAAACTAGCCAAGTATTTTTTGAATTCCTCTTTGGTGGTTTCCCCCCTTTTCCATTTTTTGTACACATCCTTTTTTAATCTTAACTCAGTTAAAAGTTCTTTAGATAGCCACCCTGGCTTCTTTAGGCACCTTCCATGTTTCCATCTCATTGGTATTGCCTGACGTTGTGCTTTTACTATCTCCCTCTTAACAAACTCCCAGCCATCATGAACTCCCTTTCCTTTTAGTATTACTGTCCATGGGATCTCATGCAGCACTTCCCTAATTTTTATGAAGTCGGCTTTCTTAAAGTCAAGAAATTGAGTCCTAGTATGCTTGGCTGCTCCTTTCCGCTGTATAGTAAACTTCAGAAGAGCATGATCACTCGCGCCTAATGATCCTTCCACTTCTACCCCACTAACCAGGTCATCAACATTGGTTAGGACCAGATCTAAAATGGCTGTTCCTCTTGTTGCTTCTCCCACTTTCTGGACAATGAAGTTGTCTGCAAGGCCAGTGAGGAATCTGTTTGATCTTATGCTCTTGGCTGAGTTTGACATCCAACAAATATCCGAGTAATTGAAGTCCCCCATTACTACTATCTCCCTTCCTTTCGCATGCTTGGCCATCTGTTCCAGGAAGGCATCATCTATGTCCTCCGTTTGGCTTTGGGATCTATAGTAAACTCCCACAATGAGGTCTCTGTTATTCTTCTCTCCCTTAATTTTGACCCAAATGCTCTCACTTTGGCTTTGAGGTTCTAAATCTTGGATCTCTTCACAGGTATGCACATCCCTGACATATAACGCCACTCCTCCTCCTTTCTTGTTTGGTCTGTTTCTCTGAAATAGATTGTATCCCCCCATTATTACATTCCAATCGTGGGACTTATCCCACCAGGTTTCAGTGATTCCTATTATGTCATATTTAGTTTGCTGTACCAAGAGCTCAAGCTCATCTTGTTTATTTCCCATGCTTTGCGCATTAGTGTACAGACATTGAAGTCCATTAATCATTCCCCCGTGTCTCTTATTTAGGGATTTTTTCCTCCCACCACTAGGTCTGCGTGCTGTTTGCTCCATTTGGTCTATGACATTTGGATGATCATCTTCATCAATTGATAGACTCCTACCTTCAGGAGCACTGTCTCCCTTCCCCACATTAGTTTAAAGCCCTCCTGATGAGGTTTCTGAGATTTTTGGCAAAAACATTTCTCCCAACCGTTGTGAGGTGCAGCCCATCGCTTGCCAGAAGTCCATCTTCAAGAAACTGCAGTCCGTGATCTAAGAATCCAAACCGTTCCTGTTTACACCATTTGCGAAGCCAGCTGTTCACTTCCACTATTTTCCCTCTCTCCCTGGGCCACATCATTCAACTGGGAGGACAGATGAGATGACAATTTGTGCATTTAATTGCTTCAATTTCCTGCCCAGAGCCTCGTAGTCTCTTTTGATCTTCTGGAGGCTATTGCTTACAGTGTCATTGGTTCCCACATGAACCAAGAGGAAGGGGTGTTTGTCAGTGGGTTTTATGATTCCTTGCAGTCGTTCAGTTACATCTTGGATCTTAGCCCCGGGGAGACAGCACACTTCCCGAGACATCTTGTCAGGCCCACAGATCACTGCTTCTGTTCCCCTCAGTAGGGAATCCCCTATCACCACTACACGCCTCTTCTTAGGTTTGGTCGGGGTTCTTCCATGAGCTGTCCTTTCCAAGGTCGCCTGCACATTCCCTGAGGACTGACTTTGCTGCTCGTCTTCATATACCTGATCGACTGTAATGAGGGAGAGATCCTCAAATGGAGTCTGCTCTTCGTCTTCCATGCTGGGGAGAGGACCTCAAAGCGATTGTGTATTTCTAAACAATCAGAGTGAACCCTGGGCCTCCTACTTCTTTGAGTCATGTTTCTCCATATATCTGGCTCCTGTGTTGGTGAACTAGCCTCCTTCTCAGGGGAGTCCCCTGTCTCTTCCTTGGTGGAGACGGTGTGCTCTGTTGCTTCCAAGAAGAGCTCCAGCTCTCTAATTCTTTGGAGCGTAGCTACACGTTCCTCCAGTTGCTGGACTTTGTCTTTTAAGAGGGCAATCAACATGCAATTGCTGCAGGTAAAGCTGCCTGCAACCTTTGGCAAGATGGCAAACATTGCGCAGGAACCGCAGGTGACTGCAGCTGTTCCCTCCCCCTCCATCTTGAGAACGTGTCGTTGGGGGTGGCTACAGTGGTCCTCCATCATAAAAAGCATGAAGACAGGACAAATAACTCCCCCCACAAAAAAACCTAGGTCTCCCCAACAAACGTTTGAGACTAGCTCCCCTAAATCTAAAAGATGGATCAAACTGCACACGCCGCTAGCCACTGCCCTGCAAGCTCTGATAAGCTCCTCCCACAGCTAATCACCTGCCTTAACAGAAACCCTGCCCCCTCTGACCTTTGCACAGGGAGAGCAGCTAATCAGCCACAAAGAAACACACACACACACAAGAAAACCCTTTTTGCTCCTTCTTCAACTGCTGCCCTGCAAGCTCTGGTTCCCTGATTGGCTGGTTCCCTCCTCATAGCAGGTGGAGGGCTTGAATCTCCAGGAGGATGAGAGTGCCTTTAAATATATACATGTGACCATGTGTGAAGTTTGCAAGCTTCAGCCTGTCAGGAGCTGGCTGCAAATTATAGCATAGCCATCCTGTCCTGTTGTCCTCTGCTCCTCTCTCCGATATTAACCTCTGTCTCCAATGCCTGCCCTTATACCATCACAAAGACACCTCCCTCCCAATTAACCTCTGTCTCCAGACATCACAAGGATACCCCGAAATCTTAGGTTTGTGTCCTGAACTCTCAGGGTGTGGGATGCTCCTGAACTAGCAACCCTAACTAAAATTCCCATCAGCTCTGACATTTGGTCATACTGGCTGCTGATGCTGCTTGGAGCTGAAGGTCAACAATATCTGGAGGGTCACAGAAAACCCTACACTAAAACCCCTCTTTAAGCTGACTTTGGGCAAGCCACTTCTCTTAATGGAGGATCAGCCCACCTCACAGGGTTGCTGTGAGGGTACAATATGATAACCCCATCCATGCAGCTGTGCACATCATGGAAGTAGGAGCTGCAGTAGTGCTCATCTGCTTTGGCTTGGGATGTGGAGAAAGAAGTCCTAAGGATGCTTTAAGAATTCAAATTGGGTGGATTCTGCAGGTGTCGCAGTGGATGTGCTGGGCCATTGTCTTGCCTCGGTAATGGTCTGGATAAGAGCCAACAAACTGAAGCTCAATTCAGATAAGACTGAGACCCTGTTCCATAGACTGGATTGATGAGAGGTTGCCTGTTCTTGATGGAGTTACACTTCCTCTGAAGAAGCAGGTATGTAGCTTGGGGCACTCCTATATCATTTGCTATCTCTTGATGTTCAGGTGGCCTCAGTGGTGCAGATTGCCTTCCATCAGCTTTGGCTGGTGGTCCAGCTGTGTCCCTGCTTGGACAGAGATAGCCCAACTACCATTTTCTATGCTCTGATAACCTCTAGGTTAGATTACTGCAGTGCATTATACATAGGGCTGTTTCTGAAGATGGTTCGGAAACTTCAGCTGGTGCTGAATATAGTGGCCAGGGGCAAGACAGTTTGGGCATGTTACACCAATCCCGGTCTGACTGTACTGGCTGCCAGTTAGTTTCTAGGCCCGATGCAAAGTGGTGGTTCAGACCTACAAAGCACAATTCAAAGTGTTGGTGTTGACCTTTAAAGCCCTAAATGGCCTCGGCCCTGTATACCTGAAGGAGCATCTCCACCCCTATCGTTCTGCCCAGATGCTGAGGTCCAGCACCAAGGGCCTTCTGGCAGTTCCCACACTGTGAGAAGCAAAGTTACAGGGAACCAGGCAGAGGGCCTTCTCGGTAGTGGCGCCTGCCCTGTGGAACACCCTCCCATCAGATGTCAAAGAGATAAACAACTACCTGACATTTAGAAGACATCTGAAGGCATCTGAAGTTCAGGGAAGTTTTTATTGTCTGACATTCTATGTATTTTTAATCTTTGTTGGAAGCCGCCCAGAGTGGCTGGGCAAACCCAGCCAGATGGGCGGGGTACAAATAAATTATTATTATTATTATTATTATTATTATTATTATTATTATTTGGCTCAGGATTGCAATACTGCAAGGACCGCTTCTCCCCATGTGAACCTACTTGGACTCTGTGATCATCATCTGAGGCCCTTCTTCGTGTGCTTCCTCCATGAGAGGTCCAGCAACACAGGAACAGTCTTTTCTGCAGCGGTTCCCTATTTGTGGAATGCTCTCCCCATGGAGGTTTGGCCAGCACCTTCATTATATATCTTTAGGTGCCAGGCAGAAACATTCCTCTTCAACCAGGTTTTGGGCTGACTAACAACCTATATCCTTTAAAATGTGTTTGTGGGAAGGGCTGGGATGAGAGATTATTGGTTTTGTTTGTTCTTGCTTTTGCTTTTATTATGCATTTGCATTTTTGTCTTGTATTTTTATGCTATGAACTGCCCTGAGATTGACAGATGAACTGTGATATGCAAATTTAATGAGTAATAATGATAAGTAACTGTTAGGGAACTGCCATCAGCTCAGAGGCGAGAGGTGGAAGGGCAGTTGGGTTACAGGGAGCCTCCGAAGATCGAAGATCGTAAGAAGCAGCTCTTCCTCCGCGGAGGAGGGAAGCCACGCCTCCAGTGGGGAAGGGATGCAGGGTTCGGAGGATGCTAGAGAGAGCTGCAACACCAAGCCTGAGCAAAGCGGGGGGGAGGCAGGTCCCCCTTTGCCCACGTCCTCTCTTTGCAGTCGGTTTACACGCAGAGAGGGGAGGCTGGCGAAGGGAAAAGAGGGCGGTCCCCGGGCATGCCTGGCCTTAAATAGGCTAGGCCACGCCTCCCCAACCCGCCGATTGGCGGATTGGGTAGCAGGCACGCCCGGGGATTCCCAGATCTCGCGGGGGCAAGCCCAGCCCCCGCGTGTGTGGGAGGGATCGCCCGCAACCCCCTCTCCTCCGAAGTTCGGAAAGGGCTTTGCAGTCGGTTTACACGCAGAGAGGGGAGGTGTAGGATGGGGGTCAAAAGACTGCTCTGCTGGGGAAAGTTTAAGGACCACCCACTCCCAGATTCTGCTAGTGACTGAGCAGACACGGAATGGAGATGTTCTACACTGTGAATGTTTTTGCACGGGTAAGAAAGCCTTGAAAAGACCAGTGGGGGTCTTGCCTGTTCGCTCTTGAGCAACCACGCCCGCACACATAACAGTAACCATTCCATCTTAAAAGTTCTCAGTCCCCACCCTCATATGCACACGCAAACAAAAATCAACTTAAACCTGTATTGGAATTTTTTGCCAGCTGGTTTCTGCTATTCTCCAGATGGAGAAATGCCATTCTCATCTCTTTCAACATATATGAGTGCAGGTTTTGAATCAGAAAACACATAAAATGTTTTACACACTTTCCATCCTGACCTACATACAAACCATGCAACTTTTTTTACTGTCAGGACATCTATGAAAGAGTGACATTCTCCTCTCAACAGGACAAACTGGATCTGCAGGGAAGATAATAATGTTTCCATTAATGGGCTGGGAGTTAAGGGCATAAATTTCCAGAGTCCTGCTGGATCAATTCCCACACTGTCCAGTGCTCCCCAATGGATAATTTGAGAGTAATTTAAAGAAATAGAAAAGCCTGTTACTGATCTCCAGTACATCATCTAAGCTGGGCATAAGCTGGGCCCAGGAAGACTCCCCTGTGGTGAGTGCCTGAGGGCCCTGCTCTTGCCACTTACCATCTGTCCTGGGGTGGGGCCTGAAGCCTCATAAGGACTGCTCTGCTGCCCAGGAAGAATCCCCTGTGGTGAGTGCCTGAGGGCCCTGCTCTTGCCACTTACCACCTGGCCCAGGGAGGGCCTGACAGGCCTCACAAGGACTGCTCCTGCCACTTACTATCTGGCCCAGGGTGGGGCCTCACGAGGATGGTTGTTGCCACTGATGCTGCTACTGCCCAGGAGGACCCGGAGGGGTGCAGAGTTCTTTTTAACATGTTTTTTTTTAATTATTATTATTAAATATTTTCCTTTCCCTTCTGATTTTTTATATATGGGGGTGGGATGGATGTTTGGGTCGGCTTGGGAATTTGTTAGATTTTGATGAATTTGTAATTTTTGCAGTTTTTATTTGTATTGTTTTATTGTTTTCTGGGTTGTTTTTTGTTTTTATTGTTTTAAGGTTTTATTGTTTTAGGCTGCGAAAGAATAACATTAATTGCCATCAATGGAGGCTACTATGAGGCCTGGGATTGCTACCGTGGAGGGGCGAGGGAGGTATGGCGGTGGGGGCAGATGTTATAGGCGAAGGGGATCGAGATATGGACACGCTTGTACCCCTTCCAATCTGCGCCCCATCCCGAGGGACGAGGGTAGGGTGAGCAAGGATTACTCAGCTCCGTCACTGGTGCTGTGCAATGCCAGGTCTATAGGCAATAAAACCGCCACCCTGAGAGATTTCTTTATCTCACAGGGGGTCGACTTGGCTTGTGTGACGGAGACCTGGGTGCGCGAAGGGGCAACAGTTACCTTACGAGAGATGGCGCCCCCGGGTTTCTCCGTCCTCCACCAGTCGCGGACTGTGGGCCGGGGGGGAGGGGTGGCATTATTAATCTGGGAAGATTGTCCTTTCAGGGCTCTACCATCACCATCGATCCCCGGCATTGAATGTGTTGGCCTAGTGTGGGGCTCCGAGGAGAGCTTGGCTGTCTGGCTGGTGTACCGGCCACCTAGCGCACCAGCAGCCACCCTGTCAGGCCTATTGGAGGCGGTGGCCGGCTGGGCCTTGGAGTTCCCTAACCTATTGGTATTGGGGGACTTTAACATCCATGCTGATGCCACTCCATCCTCACAGGCTCTGGACCTGGTGTCTTCCATGGCGACACTAGGGCTCTCCCAGTTTGTTTTGGGCCCCACACATCAAGCAGGCCACACGCTGGATTTGATCTTTGGCGTAGGTATAGATGTGATCATGTCTCCTTTGATGAAGGTGCCATGGTCTGATCACTACGCTCTGAAAGCCAGGATTGACTTTCCACCCCCACCCTGCTTAGGTGGCGAGCCGATTTGGGCTCGCCCGCAGAGGCTGATGGACCCTGATAGATTCTGCCAAGCCTTACGGGACTTTGCTCCCCCTGGCGACTCATTGACTGAGCTTGTTGAGGGCTGCAATACCCAGCTCCTGGCAGCCATCGATGAGATCTCACCTAAGCGCCCTCTGCAACCCCGCAGGAACCGGGCTCCCTGGTTTACCGAGGAGCTCCGGAAAATGAAGCGGGACCTCAGACGGCTAGAGCGAGTATGGCGGGATGCCCGTGACGGAGCCTCAAGAACATCTTATAGGGCTTTTATGAAAACCTACGAGATGGCGGTGAAGGCTGAGAAGAAGTCATACTTCTCGGCCTCCATTGCATCCGCTAGCTCTCTCCCAGCGCAATTATTTAGTATAATTAGGTCTTTAACATCCCTTGAGGGACAGCCAAATTTAAATAACAATTTGACACACAGCTGTGAGGCATTTGCGAGCTTTTTTGCGGAGAAGGTCTTGTTGCTCCACCATGACCTCCCTGCCAATTTGGATACAATAAAGGAACTGGAGGCCCCTCGACTGTCCTCAGGTCCAGTATTGGACCACTTCGACTAGATATCCCCAGCCGATGTGGACAGACTCCTCCGAGCTGGAAAGCCCACCACCTGTCCTCTCAACCCGTGCCCGTCTTGGCTGATTAGAGCGTGTCCAGACGAGGTGCGGGCCCTCCTGGGGGATATCATCAATTTGTCCCTTGGCACGGGGACATTCCCAGGGGAACTCAAGGAGGCAGTGGTGCGCCCGCTCTTAAAGAAAACATCATTAGATCCTTTAGATCTATCCAATTACCGCCCGGTTTCGAATCTTCCGTTCCTGGGTAAGGTGATTGAGAGAGCGGTTGCTGAACAGCTTGGTGGGTTTCTGGATGAAACATCGGCTCTGGATCCATTCCAGTCCAGCTTCCACGCTGGTCATGGGACCGAGACAGCTCTGGTTGCCCTAACAGATGATCTTCATGGACAGCTGGATCGAGGCGGGTCGGGGCTGCTGATTCTCCTAGATCTGTCAGCAGCTTTCGACATGGTCGATCACGAACTTCTGGACCACCGCCTTGCCGACGTGGGGATCCAGGGCACAGTCCTTCGATGGCTGCGCTCGTTTCTCTCTGGTCAGGGACAGAGAGTGGCGCTTGGGGGGGAATTGTCATCGCGCCACTCCTTGGTGTGTGGAGTACCTCAGGGTGCGATACTCTGCCCGATGCTTTTCAACATATTTATGCGCCCCCTCGCCCAGCTTGTTCGGAGTTTCGGGCTGGGTTGCCATCAGTATGCCGATGACACCCAACTCTATCTGTTGATGGATGGCCATCCTGACTCGGCCTCAGACACACTGACCAGATGTTTGGAAGCTGTGGCTGGATGGTTACGTGGGAGCCGGTTGAAGCTAAATCCTTCGAAGACAGAGGTCCTGTGGCTGGGACGGGGCGATATGGGATTGGGGGGGCAACTCCCATCTCTTGCGGGGGCGCAATTAGTGCCAGCACCGGCCGTTAAGAGTTTGGGTGTAATCTTCGACACCTCCCTTTCCATGGAGGCGCAGATTGCAGCTATAACAAAGGCGGCATTTTTCCATCTCCGCCAGGCTAAGCAGTTGGCTCCTTACCTCTCTCGCCCTGACCTAGCCACTGTGATCCACGCGACGGTCACCTCCAGACTGGATTATTGTAACTCGCTCTACGTGGGGCTGCCCTTGAGACTGACCCAGAAACTCCAGCGGGTGCAGAATGCTGCAGCGAGACTCCTTACGAGGTCTTCGCTGCGAGATCACATACACCCGGTGCTATACCAGCTGCACTGGCTCCCGGTGGAGTACAGGATCAGGTTTAAGGTGCTGGTTTTAACCTTTAAAGCCCTATACGGCCTAGGACCCTCGTACCTACGGGACCGCCTCTCCTGGTATGTCCCACAGAGAAATTTACGGTCTTCAAATAAAAACATCTTGAAGGTCCCAGGCCACAGAGAAGTTAGGCTGGCCTCAACTAGAGCCAGGGCTTTTCGGCTGTGGCTCCGATCTGGTGGAACACTCTGTCACAAGAGACCAGGGCCCTGCGGGACTTGACATCTTTCCGCAGGGCCTGCAAGACAGAGCTGTTCCACCAGGCCTTTGGCCAGGGCACAGCCTGACTCCCTCCCTCGGCGATCTTTGCGGAGCTCTGGCCCAACGGTTGCCAGTGGCTTGAATTAATTTATTTTATAATGAATGATTTTAGAGTGTTGTTTATACTGTACTTTTGTATTGTTTTATTGTTGTTAGCCGCCCTGAGCCCGGCTTCGGCTGGGGAGGGCGGGATATAAATAAATTATTATTATTATTATTATTATTATTATTATTATTATTATTAATTTTGGGAAAGTGATTTGAAGTTTACAGCATGTTATTCTTTGAAGAACTACTTGAAAATGATGTACAGGCAGTATCTAACTCTGAGTAGGATTGCTAAGATGTATAAGACTGAATCAGATAAGTGCTGGAGATGCAATGAGGTTGAGGGAACTTCTTTCATATGTGGTAGACCTGTAAAGGGGTAAAAGAGTATTGGGGGAAAATCCATAATGAATTGAAAAAAATGTTTAAAAGTTGTTGTTGTTGTTGTTGTTTAGTCATTTAGTCATGTCCGACTCTTCGTGACCCCATGGACCAGAGCACGCCAGGCACTTCTGTCTTCCACTGCCTCCCGCAGTTTAGTCAAACTCATGCTGGTAGCTTCGAGAACACTATCCAACCATCTCGTCCTCTGTCGTCCCCTTCTCCTTGTGCCCTCCATCTTTCCCAACATCAGAGTCTTTTCCAGGGAGTCTTCTCTTCTCATGAGGTGGCCAAAGTATTGGAGCCTCAGCTTCAGGATCTGTCCTTCCAGTGAGCACTCAGGGCTGATTTCCTTAAGAATGGATAGGTTTGGTCTTCTTGCAGTCCATGGGACTCTCAAGAGTCTCCTCCAGCACATACTTTCCCCCCAAAACCAGAGTCCTTTTCATTGGGGATAATTCAGATGGAAAATCCCAGGTTCCAAAAAAGGTTATTTATGTATGCCACTACTGCAGCCCGTGTTTCGTTAGCTCAAAAATGGAAAGCGAGGTCCCAACCAAAGAAGAATGGCAACTTAAGCTCATGGAATATGCACAGCTTGCGGACTTAACATATAGAATAAGAGAACAAGAAGAACATACATTTAGAGAAGATTGGAAAATATTTATTGAATATATGGGGGGAAATTGTGTACACTTGAAAACATTGGCAGCATTAAGATAAATTCAACAGTGTAAATAGGTTTTGGTGGGTGTAATAATGGAATACTGAATGGTTTAGTTTCTGTAAAATATGCAGGGGTTTATGGTATGCAAAATGAACCATGGAAAGAGAAGAAGGGAAGTCATTGATATTTTAAGGATGTTTAAATGAGTATTCTAAATTGTAAAACAGAAAATTTAATAATTATATATATAAAACTTAAGCTCTGCTGGATCAGGTGAAAGGCCCATCTACTCCACCCCCCTGTTTTTGCAGAGGTCAACGAGATGCCCCGGGAAGTGTGCAAGGAGGAAACAAGGTGAAGCAATTGCGTCAGGCTGGAGATTCCAGTAGTCTTGCACATTCCTACCTTCCATTTGTACATCACTGTAGCTCTAAAACATAAGCTGTTTAGGAAGAAATATGCAGGAATGGAAAGACACGGTTTGTCTGAATGTTTGCGAAAGAAGCTGCAATTATCAACTAAGTAAAACTAAGGCCATGCTTGGATAAGCGTGTAAGTGTAAATACTTTGTATGTATTTTTCTGTGGCTATATGTTCTACAAGTAAAAGCTTTTTGAATATCAAGAGTCAGTGTTGCACATGATTTGGCTTCCTAGCTGCAATTGAGCTACTCTGCCAACATGTATGTGGGAAGCTTGAGGTCTGATCTCCTGAATCTCCCAGTGGAGCTGAGAGAGGCCCCTATCTGAAGCACCTTTGAAAACGGTTGCCGGTCAGTAGGCAATACTGAACTAGATGAAGCAGGGGTCTGACCCCCAATATAAGGCACCTTTTGATGTTCCAGTGTTTCAGGGATCTAAGCTTTACATTCTGTTTTCTGCGAAAGGAAATGTGTGCCAAAGAAGCACAAAAAAGTGACTTCATGGGGTTTACTCAGACTAATCCTGGATATCTGAAGCCTGTCATTTAAACAGAAAAAGACACTGTCTTTGAAAATGCTGTTTGCTTAGTCTTCTGCTATTGGTCAGTTCTGAGTCCTCCCCTCTCATTAGCTACAGAGTTCTTTTCAACATACTTGACAATATAGGCATCCCTCAAGATTCCGATAGCTTTGCTACAGAAGAATGGCTTTGAAGAAGCAGGAGATTTTTCAGGCATGGCTAAATTAACAAATTACAGTGGTAACTCGGGTTACATACGCTTGAGGTTACATACGCTTGAGGTTACAGACTCCGCTAACCCAGAAATAGTACCTCGGGTTAAGAACTTTGCTTCAGGATGAGAACAGAAATCATGCTCCGGCGGCACGGCAGCAGCGGGAGGCCCCATTAGCTAAAGTGGTGCTTTAGGTTAAGAACAGTTTCAGGTTAAGAATGGATCTCTGGAACAAATTAAGTACTTAACCCGAGGTACCACTCTAATCGCACGCAAGGGAAAACACACAGTAGTTGGGAGAGTTGTTTAATATCTCCTTTTATTAATTTGACTCCTGAAGTCAAATGTACTGCTTGTCACAGTGGCGAAGAAGAAGAAGAAGAAGAAGAAGAAGAAGAAGAAGAAGAAGAAGAAGAAGAAGTAGTTTGGATTTGATATCCCACTTTATCACTACCCGAAGGAGTTTCAAAGTGGCTAACATTCTCCTTTCCCTTCCTCCCCCACAACAAACACTCTGTGAGGTGAGTGAGGCTGAGAGACTTCAGAGAAGTGTGACTAACCCAAGGTCACCCAGTAGCTGCATGTGGAGGAGCGGGGAAGCGAACCCGGTTCACCAGATTACAAGTCCACCGCTCTTAACCACTACACCACACTGGCTCTCTCTAAAGCAGAGGTTGGGTGGCCATCTGTCATGGATGCTCTAGTTGAGATTCCTGCATTGCAGGGGGTTGGACTAGATGACTCTAAGGGTCCCTTCCAACTCTATGATTTTATGAAATATCTAAAGGGCTGCCACATGGAAGAGGGAGCAAGCTTGTTTAATCCTGTTCAAGAGAACAGGACCCGAACCAATGTATTCAAACCACAAAAAGGGGGGTTCCAACTAATCATCAGGAAGAACTTTCTGACAGTAAGAACTGTTCAACCATGGAACGGTCTCCCTCAGGAGATGGTGGACTCTCCTTCCTTGGAGGTATTTAAGCAGTAATTGAATGGCCATCTGTCATGGATGCTTTAGCTGAGATTCCTGCATTGCAGGGGGTGGGATAGATGATGTCTGGGATCACTTGCAACTCTACAGTTCTGTGATTCTGTGCCTTTCTTATGCCTGAATTTGTATTCAGTATGAAATAATAAGCCGTCATCTTTGTTTTTATTTTAAAGTAGGATTTCTAATCTGTGTTTTAATCGGGGTTAGAGCTGATCCGTTAGTCATGCTGATTTATCCTTGTGTATCGCAAGCAGACATTCTTCACTGGCAATTAAATAATAATAATCAGAGATAAAGGAGGAGGGGACATTGACACTTGATACTGTCACTTCAGCTTCAATCTTTTTTGCAACATTTCATGTCATCCCCGTCACATTTTGCTGATATAACAGAAAGGCAGGTGTCATCAGGTGGATTCATGCATATGCCCCCCAGCTCTTCACATTTTAACAGTGGTGGTACTGCAGAAAAGAAACAAATAGCATTATTATTATTATTATTATTATTATTATTATTATTTCCAAAGAGTGAATAAGGAGGACACCAATTGCATTCAGGTAGACACTAAGCCTGCCCATGACTCACTTTGGACTGAAGACAATTGTCCTATAGCCAGGATGCACTCATTCTGTAAAGAGCTTCAGGGGGTGGAATAGATGAGCTCTGAGGTGTCTCCCGACTCTAGGATTCTGAATATAGCTTGACAATGCATGCTGGGCTCCATATACAGCCTGGATATTCCCTCGTCTGAGACTCCTGATCACTTGCAGTGAGGACAGGATTAATAATGCAGACAATTCCCCACTCACATGCGTTCAACTTGTGTGTGACCGTGTATACACATAGCACCGGGAAATTAATAATAATAATAATAATAATAATAATAATAATAATAATATTTTATTGATATGCCACCCATCTGACTGGGTTTGCCCCAGCTACTCTGGGTGGCTTACAGCAAATTTAAATATCAAACATTGAAAACTTCCCTATACAGGGCTGCCTCCAGATGTTGTCCATAAGTCAGTTGTCTATTTCCTTGACATCTGACAGGAGGGTGTTCCACAGGGCAGGCGTGACTACCATGAAGAACCTAGGTGTGTTTCAATTCAGGAATGAAATTCAAACCCAGAAATGGCCAGAGAGAGCCAGAGAGCGCTTGTAGCTCATGAGGAGCCCGAAAGGGATGTCAGTGAGGCTCCCAGAGCTTTAATCCTAGTTGGGGATATTTTTGGATACAATATTTATGGTATGGATTGGGGAGAGAGTGGTATAGGGATGCATAAAGAGTGTTTAGAGGGTCTTCCTCACTTTACGGATTTTCACTTATGCACGCAGGGGCAGAATGTAACCTCCTTGTAAGTGAAGAGTTGCCTGCAGCAACAGCAACAACAGCAACAACTTGTTTAGTCAGGCACTTAGGAATAACAAGAACATCAAAGGGTTGCTAAGATGAATATGCACAACTTGCATACGTAACATATAGAATAAGAGAACAAGAAGAACTTATGTTTAAAGAAGATTGGAAAGTGTTTGTTGAGTACAGTGGTACCTCGTTTACGAATATGTAGTTCGGCTTCCATTCATAGACCGAGTACTACGAATGGAAGCCAAACGGTGGAAGGGCACTGGTGGTGGGAGGCCTCATTATAGGGAAAGTGCACCTCAGTTTAAGAATGGTTTTGGTTTAAGAACGGACTTCCGGAATGGATTAAGTTCATAAACCGAGGTACCATTGGCTCCTAGTATGTTTTCCGAGCACAATTCAAAGTGTTGGTGCTGACCTTTAAAGCCCTAAACAGCCCAGTATACCTGAAGGAGCGTCTCCACCCCCATTGTTCAGCCTGGACACTGAGGTCCAGCTCCGAGGGCCTTCTGGCGGTTTCCTCATTGCGAGAAGTGAGGTTACAGGGAACCAGACAGAGGGCCTTTTCGGTAGTGGTGCCCACCCTGTGGAACGCCCTCCCATCAGATGTCAAAGAAATTAACAACTATCCTATTTTTAAAAGACATCTGAAGGCAGTCCTGTTTTGGGAAGTTTTTAACATTTAATGCTGTATTGTTTTTAACACTCAATTGGGAGCAGCCCAGAGTGGCTGGGGAAACTCAGCCAGATGGGCGGGGTATAAATAATAAATTATTATTATTATTATTATTATTATTATTATTATTATTATTATTTACAACTATATATAGAAAATAACTGTGTACAGCTGAAAACGCTGGCAGCATTAAGATAAATTCAACAGTGTATATAGGTTTTGATGGATGTAATAATGGAATGCTGAATGGTTTAGTTTCTGTAAAATATGCAGGGATTATGTAAAATGAACCATGGAACGAGAAGAAGGGAAGTTATTGATATCTTAAGGATGTAAAAATGAGTACTTTAAATTGCAAAACAGAAAATTATATATATTGTTGTTATTCTATCTATCTATCTATCTATCTATCTATCTATCTATCATCTATCTATATGGAATAACAACCAAGCACCCATCTTTGCAGAACTGCACATGACTTACATCTGCAGCATGTCTCATTAGCATGAGAGCATGGTAATGGAAGGGCATCGTCATCATCACAGTCTTTGTCTGATGAAGGTTGGCAGTAGCCCCTCCGGTCTTCACACTTCTCAGGCAGCACTGTACAAAAAGGGGGGGACAAATAAGACTTCCATTAGTTGGAAGACAAATTGGCCTAGCCCTTACCCCACCACCACCACCACCACACACACACCCTAAAAGGTAGGAGCCAACTCCCCCGCCCTGGCCAAATCTGGTCTGCCAGGTCTCCCATTTGGCTCATGGGGCCATTTTTGCAACACCACGCCCACCTTCCCCACACATGACGTCGCAGTTGGCCATCCCTGGAGAAAGAAGGATCCCTGGAGAATAGAATCAAAGAATCGCAGAGCTGGAAGGAACCACGAGGGTCAACCTTTCGAAGGAACCTTTTGCCCGACATGGGGCTTGTATCCACAGCTCTGAGCTGCAGGGGGAAGTTCCATCCTACTTGCGCTTTTAGTGCAAAGCCTTTCCTGAGCAGGAGGGGGTTTGCATTAAAATGAAATTTCCCTCTCCATTTTATAGCAGGGATCTCAATTGTCCTTGCTGGCCATCAAATGATGGGCAATGTGGGAGAGTCTTTCAGTTTCCATTGAAACCACTGTTGAAATTCGGGGGGGGGGGGTGTCTCCATCATACCAATGGCTTCAATGGAAATTGCTCTCCCCCCCCCCTTGCAGGAAGGTGAGTGCCCATTTACAGTAATACCTCAGGTTAAGTACTTAATTCGTTCCGGAGGTCCGTTCTTAACCTGAAACTGTTCTTAACCTGAAGCACCATTTTAGCTAATGGGGCCTCCTGCTGCCACCATGCCGCCGGAGCACGATTTCTGTTCTTATCCTGAAGCAAAGTTCTTAACCTGAAGCACTATTTCTGGGTTAGCGGAGTGTGTAACCTGAAGCATATGTAACCTGAAGCATATGTAACCCGAGGTACCACTGTATATCCTATTAGAGGACCATATTAAGCTCTCCCACCCATCAGCTGATGGGCTGAAGAAGCAAGCCTGCTTTCTGTTGTGGGGAAGCCTTGCTACCTGCAAGCAACAGCTGGATAGCTCAGTTGGCTACAGCATGGTGCTGATAACGCCAAGGCTGGTGGTTCGATCCCCGTAAGGGACAGCTGCATATTCCTGCATTGCAGAGGGCTTGGACTAGATGAACCTCTGGGTCCCTCCTATCTCTATGAAGTCTTGACTTCAGCTCGACACACCTGCCAAATTTGGCCCGCGAGGCCAAAACCCAACAGAATCTGGCCCACAGAACCAAAAATGTGCCCCCTCCCCGTTCCAGCATCATGCCTAACTAGAATAATGCACCAAAGAAAGTCTCCTCTGTTGCAAAACAGAACACTCTGAACAACAGTAAGCAACACGTCAGCTAATAATACTGACAATATTTTTCTATAACACTATACTGTTTCAAATCTGGAAGGACAGATCCTGAAGCTGAGGCTCCAATACTTTGGCCACCTCCTGAGAAGAGAAGGCTCCCTGGAATAGACCCTGATGTTGGGAAAGATTGAGGGCAGAAGGAGAAGGGGATGACAGAGGACAAGATGGTTGGACAGTGTTCTTGAAGCTACTAACATGAGTTTGACCAAACTGCGGGAGGCAGTGGAAGACAGGAGTACCTGGCGGAGTCTCAGTACCTACCCGAAGGAGTCTCAAAGCGGCTAACATTCTCCTTTCCATTCCTCCCCCACAACAAACACTCTGTGAGGTGAGTGAGGCTGAGAGACTTCAGAGAAGTGTGACTAGCCCAAGGTCACCCAGCAGCTGCATGTGGAGGAGTGGAGACGCGAACCCGGTTCCCCAGATTACGAGTCTACTGCTCTTAACCACTACACCACACTGGCTCTCAGTATAGAAACAGTATAGTGTTATAAAAATAAATTCAGTATACAATGGTATCTCCGGTTACAAACGGGATCCATTCCGGAGGCCCGGCCGTATCCTGAAAACTTCATAACCGGAGGCGTCCTTCTGTGCATGCACAAGATGTACAGAGCGCTTCTGCACATGTGAGTACAGCGAAACCTGGAAGTATACACTTCGGGGTTTGCCGCGGCCGTAACCTGAAGATTCTGTAACCTGGAGGTTACACAACATGAGGTACCATTGTATTATTAGCCGACGTGTTGCTTGTTGTTCAGAGTACCTAGAATAATGGCCAGCTAAGGGGGGGGGGGTTGTGTGTTTTTCGTAATGATGAAGCTTCCTGCAATAGTAGACTAAGCAGCTGTGGTTCCACAGAGGACAGGGGGCAACAGGCATCACCTTGCACTTTGCCTCAGGAAGCAAGATGCTTTGGGCTGACCCTAGCTAGTGCCTTGGACCACAGCTTCAGGAACATAGGAAACATGGCAAGCTGGCTAATACTGAGTGAGACCACTGGTCCGCCTAACAATATTGTCTACAGTGAATGGCAGCAATTCCCAGGGTTTCAAATGGAGTTTTTCCCTAACCCTATTAGGAGATGCTAGGGATCAAACCTGGGACTTTCTGCCTGAAAAAGCAGGTGCTTTTTGTCTCCAATTACTTTTTGGCAATTGTTACTTTTAATTTCCTTGGTTAGTTAAACAAAAGTGCAAGCATAGAAAAGAAAAGAAAGATAACAACAAAGGATCAACAATCTAAACCATAAGGAGTCACAGCCTGGAAGGATTAGAATGATGCGGTGCAAATCAAAAGGAATAGTGAAGTATTACATCATGCAAAGATTCCCTTTACAAATAATAAATATTATCAGTGGTTTTTTTCTGGGGCGATGCAGGGGTACACATACCCCTAAACATTTTGTGAATCTTTGTACTTCCGTCCATTTACTGCATTTATTTTTCCCAATTTGAGCTACAAAAAGGTGATTTTCTTGAGTCAAAATGAGAGTACCCCTAAACATTTCTTTAGTAATAGTGATAGTAATAGTAATTTATAGTAATTAGTAATTTATTAGTAATTTATTATTTGTACCCCGCCCATCTGGCTGGGTTTGCCCAGCCACTCTGGGCGGCTTCCACAGAGACCAAAAATACACTAAAATGTCACACATTAAAAACGTCCCTGAACAGGGCTGCCTTAAGATGTCTTCTGAATGTCAGGTAGTTGTTTATCGCTTTGACATCTGATGGGAGGGTGTTCCACAGGGTGGGTGCCACCACTGAGAAGGCCTTCTGCCTGGTTCCCTGTAGCTTTGCTTCTCGCAATGAGGGAACCGCCAGAAGGCCCTCGGCGCTGGACCTCAGTGTTCGGGCAGAACGATGAGGGTGGAGACGCTCCTTCAGGAGAGCGTCTTTTTTTAGGGAAAAAAGCACTGAATATTATTATTATTCCCCACCTGTGTGCCCCACAGCTGTTGAGAATGAAGGCTTAAATGAGCCAGACGTTTTCATATACTGGTAGCACTGAGCAACCATTTGCCCCAAAATTTGTGTAAGAAATGAAATCATGCCATATATCATGAACTACCCTGAGATCTTTGGATGAAGGGTGGCATATAAATCTAATCAATCAATCAATCAATCAATCAAAAGGTCATTCGAGCTCTGCCCTTTCAATATTTTTGATTTATGAGATATATTTTTAAGACGGGCACTTTGCCAAACCCTCAAATACCAGCCATCCAAATTATTGAGATTCAAGGTCTTCCAGGACTTGCCTATACATCCCCAGGCTGCTGTTGAGAGATGAGAAATTCAGATCCCTCCATTTGGACTTGCCTCCCTCCCTATCCCTCCACCTGAGCTTTCCTCTTACCAGCAGATGTGTGAAAGAGGAGAGCAACCAAAGCAAAGAGCAGGTAAGGAAGTCCCATGGCTGAAGTTTTCTCTGAACACTCAAGGTTGCTGGAAGGAAGCCTCTCCACAGCCGACCCGGATCAAAATCTGGATAAGATCAGGATGTTTCCCTCTATTTATAAGGATGTGGAGACAATTTGCTGTGGTGCACATGCAAATTGTGTAGCCAGGCATTTATATTGTGTCATGAGACAATCAGAAAGGACCTGAGTCAGTTTGGCAGTAAATTAGTAATGATCTATATCTGGAAGAACTAAGGCAAAAAATAATGATGATAACCCACAAAAAAATCTGTTCAGATGGGTGCAAATCAAAGCAAGCATGGATAGTGCTATGTAGTGTAGCTTGACTCAGAAGTAGAGCTGGGAAAGATATTTGGTTTGTTTCACATTTGGCACACATTACTTGGCTGGGGAAATTGCATTGAAAATTCAGAGAAGTGCAAATTTCAAAGGACGGCTGTGTTTTGCTTCCTTTGTAGTTTTAGAAAGTATGAATTAGAGAAGTTTCCTTATAAATTTTGAATTGAAATTCTCCACCCCATGGCAGGACCACAATACAGTGGCACCTCAGCTTACAAACACCTCGCGTTACAAACACTTCAGGTTACAGACTCAGCTGACCCGGAAGTAGTACCTTGGGTTAAGAACTTTGCCTCTGGATGAGAACAGAAATCGTGCGCCAGCAGCGCAGCAGCAGCGGAAAGCCCCATTAGCTAAAGTGGTACCTCAGGGTAAGAATGGTTTCAGGTTAAGAACGGATCTCCAGAACAAATTAAGTACGTAACCAGGGGTACCACTGTATCTCGAATGGCCTAGTAGCCGAACAAATCGGCTCCCGAATGCTGCAAACCCAAAAGCAGGTGTTCCGGTTTGCAAATCTTTTTCGGAAGCCGAACTTCCGACATTGCTTCCGCGGCTTCCAATTGCATGTAGGAAGGTCCTGCAGCTAATCAGAGGCCGCACCTTGGTTTTCGAACGGTTCCTGGAGTCGAATGGGCTCCTGAAACAGATTAAGTTCAAGATCTAAGGTACGAGGAATGGTTGAGTTGGGTATGTTCAGCCTGCAGAAGAAAAGACAGAGAGGTGAGAGGGTGCCTGAAGTCCCCTTGGGAAGAGGTGGTGGTTCTGTGATAGAGGAGAAACTTCTTTGTCTGCAGAAATTTTCAAGTTCAGTGGATGTTTGGCTGAAGGAAGCTTATTGGTATCGCTAAGAAAGTGTCTCCATTGAGATCTCCCATTTATTTAAATTTTAAGGACAGCCTTTTCCACCCTGGCACCCTCCAGATCAAGGGAATGGAACAATGTCCCTATGAAGAAAAGTTGCAGTGTTTGGGATGTTTTAGTTTAGTATCTAGAACAGGCATAGGCAAACTCAGCTCTCCAGATGTTTTGGGACTTTGCTTCAGGATGAGAACAGAAATCGTGCGGCAGCGGTGTGATGGCAGCGGGAGACCCCATTAGCTAAAGTGGTACCTCAGGTTAAGAATGGTTTCAGGTTAAGAATGGACCTCCGGAACAGATTAAGTTTGTAACCAGAGGTACCACTGTACAGTACACTGTACCTGTACAGTGGTACCTTGGGTTACATACGCTTCAGGTTACATACTGTAACTTAAGGTTACAGACTCTGCTAAACCAGAAACAGTACCTCGGGTTAAGAACTTTGCTTCAGGAGGAGAACAGAAATCGCATGGCAGCAGCAGGAGGCCCCATTAGCTAAAGTAGTGCTTCAGGTTAAGAACAGTTTCAGGTTAAGAACGGACCTCCGGAACGAATTAAATACGTAACCAGAGGTACCACTGTATATCTAAACAAACAAACCACACTAGTATATGTCCTGACAAACAAAATGGGGACTAGAGTGTTCAACTAGATTCTGCAACAGCAGGGTTCAAATCCTCACTCGGCCATGAAACTCACTGGGTGACCTCAGGTCAGTCAGTCACTCTCAGCCTAGCCTACCTCACGGGGTTGTTGTGAAGATGAAGTGGGGATGAGAACTATCCAATTTATTACCTTATTGTTTATTACCTTATTGTTCTGCTCAGGCTTTCCTAGACCCAGAAAATTGGTCCCTGTTTTATACATTGATTTTTTTTATTAAAAAAAAACCAGCCACGATGGCTAGGCTCTTTCTCTGTGGTCAGATGCAGTCAAGCGTCTGGTTTCCAGTTGCTGGATATTACAGCAGAGGAGAGTGCTCTTATGCTCAAATCCTGCATACAGTTTTCATATTGGCACCTGGTTGGCCACTGGGAAAGCAGGATTCTAGACAGGATGGGCATTGTTCTGATCTAACAGGGTCTTCTTACCTGGTACTCAGAGTAATCAATCCACAACTTAGGATCTCTGATCTCAGTGTTGGACTTAACACTAACCAAACAGACTGGTAGGTATCTGTTCATTGTTAAGCTTTTTTTGGGAGGGGGGTCACAGATGCAGAAGTTAAGGGGCAGGGACTGAGGAATAAGCATGTGGTTATGGAAGTTCCAAGTGTCACACCCTGATGGATCTGGGGTCAGAGCCCAGATAAGGCGACCTGTTTGCCTTTGATCAAGACAGACAAGGAGAAAACAAAAGATCAAAATGCATTGTGCCGCTACTGTACAAACAAAAAGGTTCAGTGCGTACACCTGGCAGACACAGGACCGCCTTTGTCTGCAATGTCTCAGCCAAAACTCACCCTGAGCCAATGTAAAAAATGTGTCTATAACTGGCTTAGGTCACAGGAAAACTATCAAGAACATACCACCATATCCTCAAAACTGAATCGCCATGTTTTTGAGCTGATGCGTTACGAACCGGATTTGAAACCTACACTTTTTAAAAACTTGCATTCACTGAGTTGAACATGGTCTGAACACTCCTTTGCTTGAGATACTGGTTTATGAAGATGCCACCTTGGTAAATCCAGGTTGTAGGTTTTTGGCAGTGAACAAATCATACCTTGGCATCAGCCATGCTGGTTGGGGTCCAATCCTGCGTGAAAAACTTTTGATATATCTGCCTACAATTCGCCAGGCTTATTCTACTCTAGATTATTATTATTTGTTGTTGTTGTTTATTCAACTATACCCGGAGGTCTCAGGGCGGTTCACAACAAGACCACAACATATCAAATCAAACCAAAAGCAGTAACCCAATAACACCCCCTCTATAGGAGATAAGCTCCTATGCATATGCATTTTGGTAAAAAAAAAGGTAAGGTAAAGGACCCCTGGATGGTTAAGTCCAGTCAAAGGCGACTATGGGGTTGTGGTGCTCATCTCTCTTTATAGGCTGAGGGAGCCGATGTTTGTCCACAGACAGCTTTCTGGGTCATGTGGGCAGCAAGACTAAGCAGCTAGTGGTGCATGGAGCACGATGACAAGTGCCAGGGCGCACTGAAACACTGTTTACCTTCCCACCATGGCAGTACCTATTTATCTACTTCCACTGGCATGCTTTCAAACTACAGTGGTACCTCTGGTTGTGAACGGGATCCATTCTGGAGCTCTGGTTGGATCCCGAGGTTTCCGCAACCAGAGGGACTGCTTCTGCGCACCCCTACTTCATGTTATAGCTAAGTTGTTGGTGAACACATTAAAAACACATTGTCAAACCCACATTTTGAATGTTTAATTGATGAGCTGATGAGTTTGGCTCACTGAGATCACTGAGACGTCTAGTACAAGTGCAGCCTTGACTCGCTTCTCCATGTGAAGATCTGTCTTAGTTTTCATCAGGAAATCAGGGGTGAACGTTTGTCCTCGCAGATCCGAGCTCTTCAGCAGCAACATCAAGCCTTGCAGCATTTGCGATTTGGACCACAATAACCACGTATTTGCCCCTCGGGGCATGGAGCAGGTTTTATCACGCAGTAACCCCCCATCTCATCACAGGGGATAAGGTGCACCCCTGCAGAAAACAAACATATAATTTCAGTGTTTTCATCCAGAGTGTGAATTCAGAGCTGTGAGTAGTTTGGACACCAGGCAATGGGAATCCCTGTGGTTCTAAACTGCTACAGTTTTGCCCCCACACTTCAGTACACTTTTGCTGATTTTGTCTGCAGAACCGCATGTTACACTGTCCTGAAGGAGGCTGGGTTACGATTTAGTCAGAAATAAATGAGATTGATTTCTGTGGCACCTACTTCAAATCATGTGTGCTTAGGACCAAAGAATCTTAATTCCTGCAGTGCATTGCAGCACTGACATAGCATTAAACAAAAAAGTGCCTTCTATTTGGCCAAACCCCCTTCCATTAAAGAATTAATCAGCACCCCTTAACTCCCCAGTCTGAGCTGCCCTCTTACCTGTGAAAACTTGGAAGAGCACAACAACCATAGCAAAGAAAATGTGGAAGAACTTCATGGCCAAAGTTTTCTCTGAGATCTCAAGACATCTGGCGAGAAACAGCTTCAAGACAAAGTGACGGTGGATCTGGATACAAATTGAAGATCCCCTCTATATACAGGTATAGGAATTTAGAGACAAAGGAGTGTTGAAATGAGGGCACTCAAGGCTGTTTGCCATGCTGAGCTTGCACAATTCGTTATCAGCAAAGTTGCCCCAATCCATTTCAACATGGACTCCACACTGAGAAAGAGCAAGAACTGGTCCTGTTTTGATGAAAAGATTGCAACTTGTCCAGCCTGAGGTAGACAAATTACTTAGATAATTGAGGGAGATGACTTGTCATCTTATCTCTTAGATCACCTTGAGGGAAGGTGAAGGTGTCAGAACAGTATTGGAACATCACTAGACTCCACTCTCCCTTCCTGTGGTTTCCATCAAGTGGGGCTCAGTACAGGTAAAGGTAAAGGACCCCTGGAAGGTTACGTCCAGTCAAAAGCAACTATGGGCCTAGGGAGCCAGCGTTTGTCCATAGACAGCTTTCCGGGTCATGTGGCCCTCATGACTAAACCACTTTTGGCACAACGGAACACAGTGGAGGAAACCAGAGCAGCGCACGGAAATGCCGTTTACCTTCCCGCCACAGCGATACCTATTTATCTACTTGCACTGGCATGCTTTCGAATTGCTAGGTTGGCAGGAGCTGGGACAGAGCAACGGGAGCTCACTCCGTTGCTGGGATTCGAACCGCTGACCTTCTGATCGGCAAGCCCAAGAGGCTCAGTGGTTTAGACCACAGCGCCATCCGCGTCCCCTGGGGCTCAGTACAAACTCCTACATAACTCCTTAAAAAATCATTAATTCACAGCTCATGAATAACCAGTTGCTGAAAAGCCAAAGAAGCGGGGAGTGCTCTTGTGCTTGATTCCTGTTTCCCCAGGCATCTGGTTGGCTGCTGTGAGAACAGGATGCTGGACTAGATGGGCCGTGGGCCAGATCCAGCAGGCTCATATCTTACTTTTCTATAAACAGCTGAAACAGATTAGAGGGCTGCGATTTCATTCACAGTACAGAATGTAAAGCCAAGAGAATGGAAAATAAATATATTATAGTGCAGCCTGCACCATGTTGCCCTATGAAGTGCACTTGTTCACTGTACCAGCCAGTCAGCCAGTCTTGGCCATCTCTCTGATTCCACCCCCCATTCCCAACCAGCCACCCCCAATTTCTGTGATTGACTTAGCCAGCCACCATGGCCATTGAGCATGCATGTTTCTTGCTGGGAAGTTTTGGGCTCTCCTCCATTAGGAGTATTTTATAATGATTTGCCATTCGGTGTGAAGGCAACCACAGAACCTCAGAGTATGCACCACACACTTCCGCCCCTTTGCCAAACTTCCCTGGGGTGCCCATGGTTGCCGCGTCAGATCTCTTTCCTGACATGTGGGGAAGAACATAGCTCTATGGTAGAACACATCCATTGCATGCAAAAGGTCCTCAGTCCAATCCCTAATATGTCCAGGTAAGGGTGGGAAAGACCCCCACTGGGAACCCTTGAGAGCCTCTGAAGGGGATTGTTGGCAATACAGTCGTACCATGGAAGTCAAATAGAATCCGTTCCAGAAGTCCGTTCAACTTCCAAAATGTTCGAAAACCAAAATGCGGCTTTAATTAAGTTTTAATTAAGTTTATTTAAAAGAAAAAAAAACACATCCAGAGCATGGCGTTCTGCCTGCTCTCATTAATCTTAGTTGCTCAGTCTGACTCATTGTCCTCCGCCAACAGAAAGAACGCCAAAATCCTGCCTTTCATCTCCTTCCCTTCCATTGCTCTTTGAACTTCTCCAATCTCCTCATTCGAGGACTGCACGTCTTGCCTAGCTCTTCCCCAGAAGACTCAGCCTCTGATACTGGCTTATCTGCTGGTTGCCTGGCAACGCTTTGGCCGACTTCCAACTCTTCCTCTCCTTGGGAGCTAATAGTGACTTGCCTGGGAAGGAGGCAGCCTGGGCTGTCTTCTCTAAACTCAGACAGTTCTCAGCTGAAGAGTCGGCTCCTTGCTCAATTTCTGAGGCCAACTCTTCCGCTGCAGTGTGGGGGAGGGCACTTTTGGGTTTGTGGTGTTTGGGAGCCAAACAGTTTGGGAACTAACCTGTTCCAAAACCAAAATATGATTGTACTGAGCTTTAATAGTCTGAAAATAAGGCAGCTTCCATGTCCCACACAACCTGAGAAGAAGAGGAAAAGGGCTTTGCTGCAACTGCCCTGGTTGGCCTGAAAAATCAGGATTGCTGTATTTTGAAGCTCAGTACACTGCACCTTTCACCTGCTGGTGTGAACACATGGACCCATCAACCTCCGGATGCATTGGGTGATTTAATGATAACCCCTTTAGTTGGCGCAGCTTGCAGCAAGGGTCAAGGTGGAGTTTTATGGCCATCATTTTAAAGTCTGGTCAGGTAACATGCCAGGCATGCAGGCAGAGTGTGATCTGTGGTGCAAGAAGAGTCTTGCAAGTGTGCAGAAATGTTCCATTCAGCCACAAAATGTCGGTGGGTCTACTAATTTTCTTATGAGAAAGGAAGGAAACATCTGCCACCAATGCAGTAAAGTACGTTTCCGAGCACAATTCAAAGTGTTGGTGCTGACCTTTAAAGCCCTAAACGGCCTTGGTCCAGTATATCTGAAGGAGCGTCTTCACCCCCATCGTTCTACCCGGACACTGAGGTCCAGCACTGAGGGCCTTCTGGCGGTTCCCTCACTGCGAGAAGCCAAGTTACAGGGAACCAGGCAGAGGGCCTTCTCGGTAGTGGCGCCTTCCCTGTGGAACACCCTCCCACCAGATGTCAAAGAGAACAACAACTACCAGGCTTTTAGAAGACATCTGAAGGCAGCCCTGTTTCGGGAAGCTTTTAATGTTTGATGTATTATAGTATTTTAATATTCTTTTGGAAGCCGCCCAGAGTGGCCGGGGAAGCCCAGCCAGATGGGCGGGGTATAAATAATAAATTATTATTATTATTATTATTATCAACTGGTTTGAAAGACAGTAGATGGGCTCCAGCTTCTGACACTTTGGGGCAGCTCATGGGTAGGGAAACTTTGTGTCTTGAAGATACTGCTGAACTATTTTTTGGGGTGCACATAGGCTCTATGTGGGGGCTGAATAATGAGGCGCATTAGGGTAATTCAGAGATCTCAGCCCTTCAGTTTGATGTGTGATGTCAAGAACTCCACAAGACACCTGGAATATGGTGCCCACTTCTGGGCACCACAATTTAAGAAGGATGTTGATAAGCTGGAATGTGTGCAGAGGAGGGCCAACTACAGTCATACCTCGAATTGAATGTGTTTCAGGTTGCACGCTTTTGGGTTGCGCTCCGTGGCAACCTGGAAGTAACGGAGTGCTTTAACTTCCGGGTTTCGCCGTTCGCACATGCACAGACGCTCAAATTCACGGAAGACGCACATGCATGGAAACTGCGGAACGCAACCTGTGCACGCACAGATGCGCCGTCGCATCTTACTTTCCATTCAGGATGCAAACGGGGCTCCGGAATGGATAATAATAATAATAATAATAATAATTTTTATTTATACCCCGCCCTCCCCAGCCAAGGCCTGGCTCAGGGGAGCTAACAAGCAATAATAAAAACAAGTTGAATGAATACAACTTAAAAACAAAATTAAAATACAACATTAAAATATTGAAACATTAAAATATTAAAATGTAGCCTCATCGCAGGAGGAGAAAGGAAAAGAAAAAAGAAAGAGAGGGAGGGAATCAAATTGGCTCCAAGCCAAAGGCCAGGCAGAACAACTCTGTCTTACAGGCCCTGCGGAAAGAAATCAGATCCTGCAGGGCCCTGGTCTCATGAGGCGGAGCGTTCCACCAGGCCGGAGCCAGAGTTGAAAAGGCCCTGGCTCTGGCTGAAGCTAATGTAACTTCCACTAGGGCGTTGCTATTTATGGACCTTGAGGCTCTTCGTGGGGCATACCGGGAGAGGCGGTCCCATGGGTACGAGGGTCCTAGGCCGTGAAGGGCTTTAAAGTTCAAAACCAGTGCCTTAAATCTGACTCTGTACTCCTCCGGGAGCCAGTGCAGCTGGAAAAGCACTGGGTGAATATGCTCCCATAGCAGAGACCCCGTGAGGAGCCTCGCTGCAGCATTCTGCACCCGCTGGAGTTTCTGGGACAGCTTCAAGGGCAGCCCCGCGTAGAGCTTTGCATCCCGAGGTACCACTGTAGAGTGATCAAGGGTCTAGAAGCCAAGCCTGATGAGGAACCCTTGAAAGAACTGGAAATGTTTAGCCTGGAAAAAGAAGACTGAGAGGAGTTATGATAGGCATCTTCAAATATCTGAAGGGCTGTCACATGGTGGATGGAGCAAGCTTGTTTTCTCCTGCTCTGAAAGGCTGGACTTGAATCAATGGTTTCAAGTTGCAGTTGCAGGTTCTGATTAGACATAAGGAAAAGCTTTTTGACATTAAGAGCTGTTCAACTGTGGAACAGTCTCCCTTGGGAGGTGGTGGAGTCTCCTTCCCTGGAGGTTTTTTAAGCAAAGGTTGGATAGCCATCTGTCATGGGTGCTTTAGCTGAGATTCCTGCATTGCAAGGGGTTAGGCTAGATGACCCTTGGGCCCCTTCCAACATGAAGATGCTATGATTCCATGCTTTAAGGTCTCTATCACTAAGCTGTGGCCCTGGTGGAAGAGAAATTAATGGAATGCTAGCCTGCTCTTTCTCTTGGACCTTTCATTGGCTTTTGACACTGTGCACCCTATGTGGTATTCAATGCTAGTCCTACTCAGAGTAGACCCATTGAAGCTGAAAGGTATGACTGACTTAGGCCCATTAACTTCCATGGGTCTGCTCTGATTAGGACTTGGTTGAAAACAACCCTATATTGTATTGCCTCTGAGTGGGTTCTCAATAGTTCAGTTCCTACCTGAGAGACCAGGAAGTGGTGTTGGAGCTCCTGGCTGACCCTGTGGCATTTATGCTGCAGGGTCATGCAAGATGCCCATCTCACATGGATGTCAACATCCAGGGCAGGGCAAACCACTGGGCAGAATGATGCCAATCTCTGGATGGTTTGAAGTAGGGTTTCAGATTCCTAACTTTTTAGCAAGAGGAGCAACAAAATGAATCTCCTCTCCTAATACTGCTCGGATTAAGAAAGCAGAGTGGGTAGGTAAACAGGAGTGATTTTGTGTGTGCGTGTGTGTAGGAGGACTATGGGGTCCATTCAGTTTTGGGACTCGGGATGCTTTAATTCTGAGTGCATGTGTTTTCTGCCAGGCTATTGTAAAAACCAAAAAGCACCAATTTCCCCAAAGCCTGAAGTCTCTCAACCCCTGCTGTAAATAGGTGGTTTATCTAGCCAAGACAGTGGAGTTCAACTTTTCTGGATAGATTTGATCCCTCTCTAAAGGATCAGGCGCACACCCCGGGGATCATTTTGGATCCAGCTCAGTCACTGTAGGCACAAGCTGAGGGTGGTGTACTGTACTAGCTCTGGTTCTTTTTTGAGGAGCTAGCCTGGCTATGATTACGCACACTCTAGGTATCTCCTTGTGCTGGTCCCAAGGGTTATCTGTGCGGTGAGGTCTGAGTTCAGTCCGAGGTCAAGGGTGCGGTATGGAGATTGTCCGGCAAAGCTGAAGCTGGGTTCAAGGCAGGGAGTTGGGTGAGGTCAGGAACTCTGGCAGAAGAGCAGGACAGGGTGCAGGCAGGAACAGTTTACCAACAATGTTGCTCCCGCAACCTGGGACTGGGGCTGGCTTTTACCTGCCCCGAGGCATAGGGCGGCCCCAGTCTACAGGTGACTCGCCTCTCCTGGCCTGGAGGCGAGCAGTCCTCCTGCGAGAACTTAGTTCCCTCAGCCTCTCTGCCCTGAGCCTCTGCAGCTCAGGAGAGGCTGGAGGGTTACCGGACCCAGAGGCAACCTCAGCTTCCTCTGACGGGGCTGAGAGTGGAGCACCTGCAGGCAATGGGCTCTCCATCACCTCAGGAGCCAGAGCAGACTCAGCTGGTGCCTGCAGCTGAGGATCCAGCACAGGTGAGGACCCTTCAGGCTCAAGCCCCAGCCCTGGCTCAGCTGGTTCTGGAGGCGGGGACTCCTGTGCAGGCTGGGATACCTCAGGTTCAGCCTCTGAGTCTGAATCCCAGGCCATCACACTCCTGGTCAGACTACTGCTGTGTGTTACACATGGCTGCCTTTGAAGACTGTTTGAAGACTGAAATGTCAGCTGATCGGAAATGCAGCTGCGAACTTTCTAAGCATAGCAAAAGCCACCAGGAGCTTGAGAAACTTCAGAACTGAGCAGGGAGCACCAGGAACATCCAACAGTATCCTTGGGACCGAATCCTATCTTGCAATGAACACTTCAGCTGCTTATTTCTGACAGGCATTTAATGAGCGGAATGCAATGCTTTTAACAATTTCTGCCTTAGCATATATCGAGCACTCTTTGTTTTCCCCCGTGTGAAGTTCGGTTTCTCTTATCCACGGTTACGCATCTGAGTCTAACTTTTTGCAGCACTTTCTCTTCGTGCCACATTCAAATGGAAGTACTTCATTGCTGGGGCAGTGTGAACTCTTATGGATGCAAAAGCCTCTCATCCTCTCACAAGCCTTGCCCTCTGGAAGAAATAGAGAACCAAATGGTTAGTGGGGCCTCCGTGTGGAAGGTTAAAAGAAAAAAACGCCATGCTCACATGATTAAGCCTAGGGCTAATCAGCTAAGCTTGGCTGGGGAGGGAAGGAGATTCCTGAGCAGCAAAGTGAGATGTTTCTTTTTGCAACAAGATCCATGTGGCTTGGCTCCTGCTTTTGCTAGCTAAGACCAGAGCCAGAGCGCCAGGCGGCAGCAGCAGGGGTGGGGGCCAGACACCCACAGGAAAAAATGTGGGTGCCCAGGCCCCCAGGGCCCCCTGGAGTTGGTGCCTATGAATCGGGAGGTCATCTCCCCCTTCAGAAATGCAGGGCACCTGCCTTTCTGTATGACCTGGCTCATGGTTTCCTTCCTGCTAAATCTCCAGTTTCACTGCCTAACATGAAGTGCATTTGTCTTTGGCCGCTCTGCAAGGCCAGCTGATAGGCAGCACGGGCTCATGGCTTGCAAATCGGGCAGGCAGGAAGCAGCCATTTACTTTGGAGTAAAGTGGGTGCATTTCTCGTCCTGCGCCCCCAGCGCCGTCAGTGGCAAGGGCTTCAGAAACTGCCTGAGCACCTGGTGAGTGGGGATTCGCAATATATTGCCTGGTCAAAAATTATGAAACCGTTATCACAGTCTGGACTTCAAACCGACTTCAGATGATGTATCCATGCATCGCCCAGCCCTCTGATCCCACCCACTGCCATCTCTGCGCCCACCCCCACCCCACCAATGAAATATTGCTCAGCAGCAGTTGATCCTGGGGTGATCCTGGTGGGATGAGCTTGCACACCTGGTTTCCCAACGCCCAAGCATTGCTGCTCCTTTTCAAGTTGTGTGTGGGGTAAGGCATGTGGAGCTCAGTGGGGTTTGGGCACAGTGGCAGGAATGTCAGATGGGCAAGGCTGGCAACATAAGGCCTGTTGAGGATTATGCATAATGGCCAAAGAATATACAAAATTCAGTCATTATGAGGCCTGCAGGGGGGTTGTATATATTGACCAGGAATTGTGCACAATTCCCTCTTCGCAGAAGGAGTACATGTACATTGTCCACGAGACATGGTGACTGTGCACAATGTCTGGTTATTGTCCAAATTAACCACTCAATTTATATTTCCCTGAACATTGCATATATATGGATTGTATATCTAATCAAGATATACTCATTGAAGATTAACAAACAGAAGTTGTCCTGGTTTCTGGTTTCAGGTTTGATCCCAGAATGTCCTGCTTTTCCTCGAGACATACCTATTTTCATCAGAGAAATGTTGGAGGTTATGGAGCTATGTGACACCCAAGCAAGCAAGATAAGTAACTATACAATCTTGAGAAGACATCTGAAGGCAGCCCTCTATAGGGAAGTTTTAAAAATGTTTTGTTGTGTTTTTATATATGTAGGAAGCCGCCCGGAGTGGCTAAGGAAACCCCATCCAATGAGCTGCGTATGGGGAGGGATTTGGATTAGCTGACTCTTGGGTCCCTTCTAATTCTACAATTCTATGATTCTTATTCTTATTAGTATTAGCGAATAGGGAATCCCTTTTTTCATCAGATAAATTTTGGAGGGTATGACATAAGCTCATAGATTCCAGTGAGTAAGAGAGAGAGAGAGAGAGAGAGAGAGAGAGAGAGAGAGTTATCAATCACTCACTTGCTCAACATCCCTTTTGCACTTAATCGATCTGAGCAACTTCATAAATCCCTGCATATTTTACATAAACTATACCATTCAGTACATCCATCATAACTTATTTACACTGTTGAATTTATCTTAATGCTGCCAACGTTTTCAAATGTACACAATCCCCCCATACTGTATATTCAGTAAACATTTTCCAATCTTCTTTAAACGAATGTTCTTCTTGTTCTCTTATTTTATAAGTTGGAGCTGCAAGCTGTGCATGTCCCATCAATTTAAGTTGCCATTCTTCTTTGGTTGGGACCTCACTTGTTTTCCATTTGGGGCTAACAAAACACAGCCCGCAGTAGTGGCATACATAAATAACCTTTTTTGACACCTGGGAATTTCAGTCTGAATTATCCCCAACTGAAAGGACTCTGGTTTTATTGGGAAAGTACTTTAGAAAAAATAAATTCAATTCATTATGGATCATTTCCCAATACTCTTTTACCCTTTTACAAGTCTACCATATACGAAAGACTTTTAAAAAACCTGAGCCTTTTTTTCCTTTTTCTTTTTACCTTGTTCAGCCTGGCTGGCCAGGGCCAGCAACAGCAAAGGAAGAAGAAAAAGGGAGAGGAACCTCATGGTTGAAGCTCCCTCTGATAACTTGAGGCTGCTGCAGAAAGGACACTGACCGGTGATGAATCAAGCTGAGAAGTTCCAGTTATTTATACAAGTGTGTGATAATAATAAAATAAAGGTCTCTGCTTTGCAGTGGGGCACCTGCAAGGTGTAGGCAATCGCTATCCTTTAGAACATCCCCAGCATCAATCTTCTGCCCACCCTTTCCCCCTAAATTAACCTAGTTAATTGTGCTGAATATTCCTCGTAGGAGTTGCCTGGTACACCTCGCGAACTATCTGTACTAACTTGTCCTATCATTATCTCTCCTGTAACCTTTCAGAATTGCCATTCATCCTCCGACTGTTTGAAAAAGAGAAGGAAGGACCGTGGGTGATATCCAGCAAAATTCTTGCCTGGGAAGGAAGAAAGGGGGAGCAGAGTGGAGCACAAAGAGACCTGACTTATTTTTATTTTCTGGAGGGGACGGGACACTTTGTTCATCTGCATCTAATCACTCCCCTTTCTAAAATTTATTTATTGGTGTGTGTGTTTTTTTCTGTTTGGAAATCTACCAAAAAATAAAGTAGAATACGAAAGCCTTGAAAAAGCTCAATATGGAGGTCAAATGGCCAAAATATTGGGAAATTTTGGAACAAGATGGAGACAAATTGAAATTGCAGAGTTTTGAAAAATTAAAAAACAAAGTGCGAGACTGGCTTCATTATTATCAGATAATGGAGGCATACAATTTGGATAAGAAAATTGGCTTCCAGGTGGAAAAATCAAAATTAGAAACAGAACTGTTAGAACCCAAAACTAAGAATTTGTCAAGAATGTATAACTTGTTGCTGAAATGGAATACTCAGGATGAAACGGTGAAATCTGCTATGATTAAATGGGCACAAGATGTTGGATATAACATCAAGTTCGCTGACTGGGAACAGTTATGGACCACAGGTATGAGGTTTACGGCATGTAATGCCCTAAGAGAGAATATTATGAAAATGATATACAGGTGGTACATAACCCCAGTTAAGCTTGCAAAAATCTACCATTTGCCTGATAATAAATGTTGGAAATGTAAAGAAACTGAAGGTACATTTTTCACCTTTGGTGGACGTGCCCAAAGATTAAGGCTTTCTGGGAGATGATATATAATGAATTAAAAAGGTATTTAAATATACCTTCTTGAAGAAACCAGAGGCCTTTCTCCTGGGCATAGTCGGCCAATCGGTGTTAAAAAAGGATAGAACTTTCTTTATGTATGCTACAACAGCAGCAAGAATACTCATCGCAAAGTATTGGAAGACACAAGAGCTACCCACACTGGAGGAATGGCAGATGAAAATGATGGACTACATGGAATTGGCGGAAATGACTGGCAGAATCCGTGACCAGGGAGAAGAGTCGGTGGAAGAAGATTGGAAGAAATTCAAAGATTATTTACAGAAATATTGCAAAATTAATGAATGTTAGAGTGATGTTGGATTGAAATTAAGTGGCTTCTAGCTGTACAGGCTTTAAAGTTATAAATATATCAAGATCAAGGATTAGGATTAAAAAGCTTAAAAGAATGGAAAAAATGGTTTTTAATAGGTAAAAATTTAATGTTATATTATATTAAGATCAAGGATTGGGATTAAAAAGGAGGGAAAGGAATTGCTGGACTAACAAACTGAACTGGAATACAAAAGAGGGAGGTATGAGGAGGTCCGGGAAACAAGTAAATGTAAAAGTAGTGATGAAAAGATGGAATTGTTTTTAACTGTTTTTTCTTTTTTTTCTTTTCTTTTTTTGTATTTTGCATTGCGTAATTTTCTTTTTATTCTTGAATTTTTCTTTTTTGTTGATGTGATTCTTTCTTTGTGAAACTTTAAAAAATATCATTTAAAAATAAATAAATAAATAAAGTAGAATAAAGTCATGATTAAGGGGTTGTTGTTTTTCAGGATGGTAGAGGGCATGGGTGCTGTGTCCCATTGTTCTTCTGTTGCCGGAGAGCGCTGCCTTTTTCCTGGGACAATTTGGCTTTTAAAACAATCACCCGTGAGTACTTTAATTTTGGACAATTGGACTATAAATAATGACCTGCGAGTAGAAAGGAAAATTGGACTAAGAAATTCATCTCAGTTTGGCACTGAAACGGGAAGTTCTAAACAGGAAGTCAGCCTTCCGTTTCTTGTAGATAGATTAAAGCAAAGACATGGCAAACTAGAGTTCAGAAAATCGCTTGTAAAGGATTAACTTTCATCATTTAAAATTGTTGAACCCCCTTCGGAAGCAGGAGAAGAGGGGGGATTTTTTCTGGACTGTTTAAACCTGCAGAAGAGAGTGTAAAGCAAAGTAATTTTCCACCGTCTTGATCCTGGGAGCGGGGTGTCAGGACTGACATTCATTGGACCTCATTGACCAGAGACAAACGTCTTTGACAGATAGTTAAAAGAAGAGAAACATAGTGATTCCATTGTTCTCCTTCGCATTTTAAAGGAACAAATATTGACAAAATATCTGAAAAGGAAACTTTGTTGCTAGATCTGCCTTTAAAAGAAAAGAACAAATAGAAGTTCTTCCCCTAGAGGGAGCCTGTGAAACTGTTACTAAATCTGAATCGGGGAGCTCTGCAGCTGCAACAGATTATGATCGTGGGAATAGACTTCTGACCTTGCAGAACAATGTATCCAGAAGCTCTGATGCTTTCTGCAAAACAAGTGCCCTATTGGAACAGCTACATGAGAAGACGGACTTGATGACTGCTGCGATCAGAAATTTTGGAGAGGTAGTGGGAAACTATATAGAGCCCACCCAGGAATCAAATCAGGAGTGTGCTCTGACAGATCAGATGAGGGAAGAGGATGTTGCTGAACCTCGGGCGCCAGAGATGGAGGGAGATGTGGCCCAGCAGGAACATGAGCTCTTGGATCTGACAAATGAACTTGGAAAAAGCCAGATTTGGAAAGATAAAGTTTGGTTTGGTTTGGAAATGGGGGGTTGGATAGACCCCCCCATGCAGGGATGTTTGGACTTTTCAAGTCTGGCAATGGGCCGTGAGATGTTTGGGGTTGTGGGGCTCTTAATTCTGGAGGGACTTTGAAACATGCTTTTAAATACCACATGGAGTTTAGTGTGGAATATGGAAAAGGGACTGATTTGTTGAGAAGGGTCAAAAACACTGTCAAGTTGGAGTTCCCACGAGTGAAAGGAGCAGGAGACAAAGTAAAGTACAGGTATAAATATGAAGAAGAGCCGCGGAAGGGACATGGAAGAGACTTAAGGGCCTCGGACATAAGATTACCAGGTTAATGAGCTAGATTGATGGGATAGAAAGGACTGACAAAACCCGGGACCAGGAGGAAGAGATGCTGGATGAAGATTGGAAGAAAAAAATTTTTTTTATTAGGATTGTTTTATAAAATTGATGAATGTTAGAAAAATGTTGGAACGAAATCATCTGGCTTTAGCAAAAATGTTAAAAGAATTATGTAAGAATATGTTATGGTTATGAGAAATTGGTATAAATAAGATCTAAGTTTCAAGTTTTAGGGTCTTTTATAGTAAGATAAGGTTAAAATAGATTAAGGTAATGTAATGACAGAATATTATGAAAAATGGAAAGGATTTGCTGTGACAATTAACAACTAGGATACAAAAAAAGGGAGGAGTGAGGAGGTCAAAGAAAGAAGGTAATGACAGTTAAGGATTTGAGAATATTGGACTTGTTTTTTAAATGTTTGTGGCTTATTTTTGTTTTTTGATTGTGTTGTGTTACGTGCTTTGTTCTTATTTTTCTTTTATTTTGATTTTTATTAATTTGTATTGTTTGATTGTGGTTTGTTTTTCTTCTGTTTTTGCTTTTTATTTTTATTTTTTGTTTTTTCTGTAACTTTAAAATTCTTAATAAATATCATTTTAAAAAAAAAGAGGAAATGTTCTGCAAGGGGAGAATGGGAGGCAAAGATTGAGAAGAGTCGGGGTGGGACTGAAGAGTCGGGGTGGGACTCCCCATAAGGAGTCTCACTGCGGCATTCTGCACCAGCTGGAGTTTCTGGGTCAGTCTCAAGGGCAGCCCCACATAGAGCGAGTTACAATAATCCAGTCTGGAGGTGACCGTGGCGTGGATTACAGTGGCAAGATCAGGGCGAGAGAGGTAAGGAGCCAATTGCTTAGCTTGGCGGAGATGAAAAAATGCCACCTTTGGTATAGCTGCAATCTGCACCTCCATGGAAAGGGAGGTGTCGAAGATTACACCCAAACTCTTAATGGATGGTGCTGGCACTAATTGCGCCCCCGCAAGAGATGGGAATTGCCCCCCCATCCCATATCGTCCCGACCCAGCCAAAGGACCTCTGTCTTCAAAGGATTTAACTTCAACCGGCTTCCACATAACCATCCAAATTATGATTGAACTTGGGATCTTGATCACTAGGCAGCAATAGTCCTACTCAGAGTACACCCATGGAAATAAATAACCCTAATGTGCCTTCAGTAGCATTAAATACCACTCTCAATGACCTATGGACAACCAAAAGGTAAAGGTAAAGGACCCCTGGCAGTTAAGTCCAGTCGTGACCGACTCTGGGGTTGCGGCGGTCATCTCGCTTTATTGGCCAAGGGAGCCAGTGTACAGCTTCTGGGTCATGTGGCCAGCATGACTAAGCCGCTTCTGGCGAACCAAAGCAGTACACGGAAACACCGTTTACCTTCCCGCTGGAGCGGTACCTATTTATCTACTTGCACTTCATGCTTTCGAACTGCTAGGTTGGCAGGAACTGGGACCGAGCAACGGGAGCTCACCCCGTTGCAAGGATTCGAACCTCCGACCTTCTGATCGCCAAGCCCTAGGCTCTGTGGTTTAACCCACAGCGCCAAGTGGCTCCTTAATAATCAGTGCCAGTTAGGTCATAGCTCCAGTCCAGGTTGAGTTCAGTCTATACCACCCGTGTTCACATAAACCAAGCAAAACCCAAGCTCTGCCTGGGTGCATTGGCTGCAGTTATCTGCTCCTGGGAATCGGTGAAGAGGGC